CAAGGTTACCTACCCAGTTCCTAAGTGGATATATTTTGTGTGCTGCCACACTTGCGGCTGCCAGGTGCTGGTGCAGGCTTGTTTCCCTGAGAAAACCCTTAAACAAACGCTGTAAGCCCTCAAGCCCCACAAACCCTAAACCCTTGAAAGCCGAAACCCTACAAACCCACTTGGGGTTAGGAGTCAGGACCCAAAACCCTAAACCCTAAACCCTAAACCCTAAACCCTAGAAGTTAGGACGCGGGGTTGGTATACTCGCGCCGATGCGTGTGGCAGGCCCTGGGGCCCTAGGTGACCAGCTGTGAAAAGTCGGTGTCCTCCAAGAGGTCACCTGCAAGAAGAGGCTCAGGGTTTCGGGCTTAGAGGATTTTAGGGTTTAGGGTTTAGGGTTTAGGGTTTAGGGTTTAGGATTTAGGTTTAGGGTTTAGGGTTTGTGGGGAAATTGGAAAAGTGGGCTTCAGCTGCTTTGTCTCGCCTTGCCTGGCACTGTGTTGGTTCTAGCATGCTGTGCACGTCTGTGTATGAGAGAGAGAGAGAGAGATAGGTGGTCCTGTGTCTGTGGTTGTTTGCACTTCGTCTCCCCCCCCCCCCCCCCAAACGCCAAGTAACTCAGGCCGCAAACCCCTAAAGCCTGAATTTTGGACCCCAAGCACAAAACCCTGAACCCTACCCTAAACCCTTAAGACTCTTTAAACAAACACGCGGGACTCTCCAGGCTTGTGGATTTCTGGAAAGCAGGGCACGTAGGGGTTAGGTTGGGAACTGCCCTAGGCCAAATGATAAGCGACAAAAAAAGGGGTTTAGGGTTTAGGGTTTAGGGTTTAGGGTTTAGGTTTTAGGGTTTAGGGTGTAGAAGGGGAACCTACTATCTGGAGGTCTGCACTAGACCGAGACCCAAGAGTAACCTAGGAATAAAAACAACCCTTTTTGGTATAAAGGGGCTTGTAAGGGAACCTAAACCCTAAAAAAGGAATCAGGGCCTACTCTGGGTCCTAGTATATTTGGGGTCCCCTTATGTTCGTAAACTCTCCCATTGAGGGGCGGCAGGATCCAACTGGTCTGGATGGTGCAGAGACTGGACAGTTTCCCACAAACCCTAAACCCTAAACCCTAAACCCTAAACCCTAAACCCTAAACCCTAAACCCTAAGTTGGATCGGAAAACTCGCGCTTCGAAGGTAGGGTTGTGAAGTAGGAGACGCCCCAACCAGGGACCCTTTAGGGAACTTGTATCGAAGGAGACCCCTAAACCCTAAACCCTAAACCCTGAACCCTAAACCCTAAACCCTAGAGCCAAAACCCCAAGCCCTAAGCCCTCAACTTCTGCGAATGTAGCCCTGAGAGGTTCCCTGCATATACCCCTAATAGGGCCCTGGCAGTCCCTCACGAAAAGTCTTTAAAAAAGGGTCCCCCAACCCCAGCGTCCTAAACACTAAGCCCAAAACCCTAAACCCGCATCCCATGAATGTATCCCTACTTCGTGCCTCTTCGCTAAAGCCCCCCAATCCTCCAAGGAAAGCCTGGGAGCCCTCCCGTCTTTGCTTGGGATTTGGGCGGCGGCTTGGGGTTTAGGGTTTAGGGACCCTAAACCCTAAACCCTAAACCCTAAACCCTAAACCCTAAACTTGAGGTTTCTATTGGGCTTTACGGGAGGAGCTGCCGCCCTGTGACGGCCGCGCCTTGGTCGATGCATTATGCTTCCTTGAGGGACAGGGAGAGGCCCTTTTCGCTGACCTGCCGCGGGTTGCGTTTAGGGTTTAGGGTTTATAGAGTTTATAGGCTTGACAGTGTTTGTAGGGTTTATAGCGTTTATGGGGTTTATAGGGTTTATAGGCTTTATAGGGTTTATAGGGTTTATAGGGTTTATAGGGCTTTGGGAGCCCATGATAAGCACCCCTTCGCGCCCATGATAAGCACCCCTCGTCCAGATCCCCAAAAGCCAAAACTCCTTAGGCCTTTCAGCCCTTCCTTGTTCTTGCTATCTTATTGAGAAACCTAACAACCCAAAAAGGCTAAGGATCCAAGGTTACAGTAAAGCACCGCAGAGTTGAAATTCCTCCCAAGCCCCAACGAGCAAGAAACCCGTCGAGCGCTGCCTCATGAGGGTCTGGGGTGCTTCGTGAGTCTAGGTTTTCCGCGTATGTGGCATCTAGGGATCTGGGAGGCTATGGCTTAGGGTTCAGAGATCCCAGAAATGCCAAGGCTTCATGCTGTGTGAGAGCAGAGCTGTGGGCATCCCAGCATCGCATATATAAGTTAGAGCAGTGTGGGGGGGGGGGGGGGGGGGGGGGGGGGGGGGGGGGGGGGGGGGGAGAGGGCGTTCCCTTCCCTTGCAGTGCTTTAGGGTTGCAGGTTTAAAGGATTTAGGCAACCTGGTTTGAAGTTTGAGGGTTCAAGATTCAGGCTTTATGGAACATGAGGGGTGGGGTGGCTTTTGTGCTTCTGAGCGTTTGGGTTTCGGGGGCATTGAGAGAAGGAAAGCAAACCCACTTGCAGTCCAGTCGAGTCCCCTTTAATCAAAAAGATCACCAAAAAAAGACTCCGCTCCCAGTATTTTTCCAGTAAATCGGGGTAACCCGACTAAACCCCAAAATGCTATAACCCTGCTTAAAGGAACACCCCCCCAAAAAAAACAAATAAAATAAAAACAACAAAGAAGAGGTACAACCCTGTTGAATCCAAACCCCCCACTGTCCCTCGCATTGCCAAGTGTTCGGAAACCTGCATATCTGCACCCAGGGTGAATCGTTTCCAAGATCCCATGTGCCACCCCCCCCCCCCCCCCCCCCCCTCCCCCCCCCCCCCCTTCCCCGCTCCCCCCCCCCCCCCGCCCGCCGCCCCCCCACCAACCTCGATTTTGTCTACGAAGTCTACTTAACCTACATGGAGGACTTCGAGCCTTCCAGGTGCAGTTGTACTTGGGGTTGAGTACCCCTAACCCCTAAACCCTGAAACCTGAACCCTGAACCCTGAACCCTAAACCCTAAACCCTAAACCCTAAACCCTAAACCCTAACCCTCCAAGTAGGGTAAGCCCTACGAGCTTGTAGGCTTCTACATGCTCCATAGACCCTTTAAGCCCTATCGACCCTATAAGCCTTGTAACCCTTATAATTAAACCCTGTAGACCCTTTAACACCTAAACCCTAAACCCTAAACCCTAAAGCCTAAACCCTAAACCCTGAATGAACCTCCAAGTAGAAACCCTAAAGCGCAGCGGCTCCCTGGGCTGCCCCCCCGCCTGCAGGATTCGCACCTTCAAATTCTGGCCCTCCTGCCAAGAAACTTCGGAGGGTTTAGGGTTTAGGGTTTAGGGTTTAGGGTTTCGGGCCCCTTCGTTTTTTTCCGAGTGTTAAAGCGAGACCTGACAAGGTCTTCTTTGTGTGCTGGCAGTCGTGTAGGGCCACGGCCGTCGGTATCTTGCAGGTAAAAACCATACTCTCGAGTGAACACTTGGGGGGTGCAGGGTGCAGGCAACATCATGCACTGTGAGAGCAGCTGCTTTTTGTTTGCGTTTGCTACCCCAAAGAAAGGCTTCTCAAGCTTACTGTAGGTGAACCCTGTGCCCCTAAACCCTAAAACCCTAATGTTCTCTTGGGCGAAAGGTGGCCGATACCGGCGACCCTGGCACTCCAAGACCTCTCCAGCTTGAAATTCACGGTCCTCAGAAAGGCCCCCCAGGCATCTAAGGAATGACCTTGAACAACACGAATCCTAAACCCTAAACCCTAAACCCTAACCATAAACCCCTTCACACCAAACCTGAAGCCCGAAACCCGGCTAAGCCCTAAGCCCTATGAGCCCCGCACCATCCTAAGTCAAGCCTGAACCCGAGCTCTGTGAACTCTTCTATTGAACAACCACCACCAAACATAACAATTGCTCAAGAAGCACCCCCCCCCCGGAAAAAAAAAAGAAGCTATTCTTCCTTAGAAGGGTCATGCAGGGATTTGCTATTTGCGGGGGAGGGGGTGGGCCAAGCATCAAAAACAAAATATATAATAGTAATAATAATATTAAAAATAATAGTAGCAATAATAATAATGATAATGATAATGATAATAATCATAATAAAGATAATAATCATCATCATAAAATAATAGCAATGATTATAAGCACAATAATAATAATACTAATAATAAGAAGAGTTATAACAGCAAACAACAATGATAATCATATGAGCTTTTGTATATATCTTCTTCTTACAAGACGATGATAGGGAGTATTATTTCTTGCTTCTTTTGGGGGTTCTTATGACGTGATAGTAGAAAGAGCCGGACGCCGACCCTAAACCCTAAACCCTAAGCCCAAAACGCTAAACCCTAAACCCTAGACCCTAGACCCTAAACCCTAAACCCTAAACCGCCTTTGAGCCTCCCAGGAGGACGCAGCCTAGCCTAAGTTCCCGTCGCTCTGCGAACTCATCGCAAGCGAACTGAGGAGTCCCTTGAGAAGCTGGGATTAGGGTTTAGGGTTTAGGGTTTAGGGATTTGGGTTTTTTGGGTTTAGGGTTTAGGGTCAAGACCCTGAACGAATATACCTGAAATCGTCTGAATCATCAAGGGTCTTTATATAGGGGGAATTCTTCACTCAGGGGTATTGCTTGGAGGTTCAGGGTACTTATTATAACCCAAGTATAACTGCGCTTATAAGCCCCTAAGTCCTCTCAACAGGTCATAAGTATATAGTTGGTGTTGTAAGTGCCTCTAAACCCTAAACGCTAAACCCTAAACCCTACACCCTAAACCCTAGACCTCCAAGTAGTGCTAGCCCGAGCCGAACACAAAGGGACCGCTGTGTAACGTGCGTCCGGTGTTGTGGCGGACACAGGTGCAGGTCTGTTTTAGGTTCAGGGTTTAGGGTTTAGGATTTAGGGTTTAGGGTTTAGGGTTTAGGGTTTAGGGTTTCGGGTTTAGGGCCCTTTGAGAAAATGAACCTTGTTCGCTATACGGCCCACGAGCCGGACCCAGACATCATCCTTATTCGACGATGCTGGCCGCTCTCAGCTTCCAGTTGCTCGCGATGGGTCAGCCGAGTTGTCCGCCTGCGCAGGGGATGTAGCAGGTCACAAATCCGTTACGAACAGCTCATAGAGAATTTTGCCTACGAATCAACGAAGCTATGCTGTAAAAACTCCTTTAAGAAAGCCCTTATCCGCGCTAAAGTTTAAAACCAATACAGAGCTTCTCATGCAGGAGCTGATCATCGCTGGGGTATCACTTTAAGAGTAGTTAAATGGTCCCTTAAAGATGGGCCCTTAAATGGGGCCCCCTTCTATACCCATTTTTTACCCGATAACCCAAGGCCCGTACTTCAGAACCCTGATCAGGAGGGACCCTGTTAAGGGACCATGCAACTTCCCTAAACCCTAGACCCTAAACCCTAGACCCTACCTAGACCCTAGACCCCTAAACCCTACCCTTGGAGTGCCTGGAACCCGGCAACCCTATAACAACCCAATGAACCCTGCCATCCCTCATGCCATGAACCCAAACCACCAAACAGGGTTTAGGGTTTAGGGTTTAGGGTTTAGGGTTTAGGGTTTAGGGTTTAGGGTTTAGGGTTTAGGGTTTAGGGTTTAGGACTTTCGGGCGCCTGGGCCTCACCGTCCCCGAAACGTGGGGATGCCGGCCGTGTTGGCAGCGCTGGCACCTCTGCTGAGGGTTGTGAGCTCGGCCACCCCATGCCCTAAAAGCCCCTTGAAAGTATTAGGGTTTAGGGTTTAGGGTTTTGGGTTTAGGGCTTAGGGTCCAGGGTTCAGGGTAGGAACCCTACTTGGAGGTACATGGTACTTATTAATCAAGTTTTAGCTGCACTTATCACCCAATTATGACCACGTTGGGGCACTTAAGGGGCTCATAGGTGGTTTGCAAGTACAGTTATATTTTGGTTAATGAGTGCCAGGAGTTCTTAGGAACCCGTAGAGGGATCTACTTCTTGGATCAGCGGTCTGGGTAAGACTCTTAACCCCTTCACATATACCGTTCAAGCATGTTCAAGGCATGAAACCCTAAACCCTAAACCCTAAACCCTAAACCCTAAACCCTAAACTCTAAACCCTAAACCCTAAACCCTAAACCCTACAAAATTGAGGGTATGGAACGTTGGGCTCGTGGGTACACCAGGAGCTCTGCCTGTAACAGCTGCTGTGGCTGCGCGTCTTCAGCCGCCAGCAGCGCCTGTCAGAAATGCTTCTAAGCAACCACCGTGTTTTATATGGCAATTTCTCTAAAATACAGTCCTTTTTGGGGGGTCCGTATTATAAGGCGGCCCCTCTTATTTAGGGCACCCCAAAAGCGACCATCAATAAGAGGACTGACCATATTATACCCTGACAGAAGTTAAGGGACGTGTGCCTTCTTGATTGTGTTGAAGCGCACATCGGCTGCTCTAGGTAGTGCTTCAGATTTGAGGATAAGGTTTGGGTATTTGCCCAAACAGTTGTACCTCCTTTATACCCCAAATATTCTACACTAGACCCAGGAGTAGGGTGCCCTTTTTGGTTCTAAAGGGGCTTCTAAGGGAACCTAAACCGAAAAAAAAGGAAGAAGGGCCTACTCTGGGCCCGAGCATATATATACCCCGGTATAAGAACCCCAATATGGGAAACCAGCATGCCTTGCTTGTGCATTGGTTCATGTGAAATTCATGGTCTCTCCGTGGAGCATCATTGCCCATACAAGGCTCCGTCTTGCAATAAGAACCCCTTGAACCCGGACCCTCAAACTCTAGACTACGCTCATCCCCTGCCCATGCAGGGAGAAGAAGGAAGAGAGAGAAGTCGGAGGGAGAGAGAGAGAGAGGGGCAAAGGCAACGACAGAGAAAGAGGTGGCAAAGGCATGAACAGGTAAGGCCAGGAAAGGAGAGCCTTGGGAGAGAAACCCTAAACCCTAAACCCTAAACCCTAAACCCTAAACCCCAAAAAGCTTCGGTTATGTGGCGCCTCAAGCACAGCCGGACGTCGCATCTCCTGTGCTCACAGCAAGTGCGGTAGCTACTAATTGCTCAAGAACCCCAAAAGAATTAGAAAAAAGAGTAATCCCCATATTACCCTTAATAAGGAAGACTATTTCAATTTTCCGAGGTTCTTAAGCCATTAGTAGACAGGGTCGCTTGGTATCCGTAGGCGTGGTGTCTGGATGTTGGGTGCACAGAGACAAAAAACTGCTGCTGCCAACGAAGAATACATACATACACGCATGCTTACATACGCACATAAATACATACATACATACATACATACATACATCCATACATGTTCACATGTGTAAAGATTTTCGGGTTTCTGTAGGTATGATTATGTGTAATTATATGCACTTGACATCACACTGCGTGTACTACATCGCGGAGCGGACGGGCTGCTCCAATTCGGAGTCTCAATATCGTCGGTTACCAAATGAGACCCCCTCCTCCTGGCTTAGGGCTTAGGCCTTAGGGCTTAGGGCTTAGGGCTTAGGGTTTAGGGTTTAGGGTTTAGGGCTTAGGGTTTAGGGTTTAGGGTTTAGGGTTTAAAGAAGGCACCAAAGGGACCTGTCACCGACACATGCACACCCAGCCCCTGAAAAGGTGCAAGGAGGTTAGGATCAAGCCTAAGTTTAGGGTTTAGGGTTTAGGGTTTAGGGTTTAGGGTTTAGGGTTTAGGGTTTAGGGTTTAGGGTTTAGGGTTTAGGGTTTAGGGTTTAGGGTTTCGGGTTTAGGGTTCAGGGTTTAGGTGTAGGTACGAAGTAGACTTAGAAGGAACCCGAAACTACATATCGAACATCTCTCTTTAAAGTGCCCTGAACCCCGTACCTCAGATTCGGGTTTAGGATTTCGGGTTTCAACTACTCCCAAAAAAGTGAACATGTTCTTCCTTAGAAAGGCAATACTGGGAGTATTGTCTTTTACTTTTGTTGGAGATGCCACATTTGATGTCCTTACTCAATCTAGTGCGCAAGTTTTCTCGATCTTGCAAGACGATCCCCGATGATGCTTGGTATCCAAAACCACCAAAACCCACCCAAACCCTTCAAGGCCGTAAAAAAAGGGAAACCTCACAACCTCAAAAGCCCTGAAGCCCCAAACCCTAAAGAGTAAACACAGTACATGAACGAAACTTGGGAATCCTACCTTGGTCGCCCCGGAACCATACTACACTAAGGGTACGGTGCGCTTTCGGGGTTGGTTACTTCAATAAGGGGACTTTGAACCAAAGAAAGGTTCCACCGAGCTACCAAGTGACGGCTCTGAAACCTAACATCGCCGAAGCTGTAAGGCCCTGAAACCCTGGCACGCCCTTGGCCCACGCAACTCTCAACAACCCTCAAGAAGCCTTAAACCCCCGAGAGCAAGTGCAAAACCCTAAGCAAGCAAGCTTCAAGAACATTGACTGACTAGGCCCAGAAACGACGGCAGTTTCGTAGATTTAGCGGGCGCAGTCGCCCAAAAGCGAGTACAGTTTCGCATCCCGCGTGTGCCCAGAAGTCGAAACGTGCTGACCGTTGTGACGACGACAAGCACGGCCGGGTTTAGGGTTTAAGGGTTAAGGGTTAGGGCTTCGGGAACAAGACTTTAGGGTTTAGGGTTTAGGGTTTTTAGGGTTTAGGGTTTAGGGTTTAGGGTTTAGGGTTCCGGGCTTAGGGTTTAAGGGCTTCGGGAGCAAGACTAAAACCTTAATGTCAGGCCTCGGGCTCCGGCTCGCTTCCACTGGCACCTTGAAGGATGAACGTTGCCAGCAGAAGGTTCGTGGGGATTTGGGCGTTTTCCCAAAGGATCCATGTACCTGTATGGTATATACTTGGGCCCTAAAGCTACTATATAGGAACCCCTTTAAGGCCCAAGTATATACTATATAGGTACTTGGATCCTTTGGGTTTGGGCTTAGGGTCTACAGGGAGTCTTTGGGAATCAGGGTGTAGGGTTTAGGATACTTTCTGCTACTAGCGGTAAGTATGGTATGGGGATTGACAAAATTCTGGAACTTACTCAGGTCTGTGGATTACGACAGCGCCAGGGCCTTGGGTTTGGGGTTTGAGGATCCGATTTACAAGCGGGGTTGAGCTAAACTCTGGGCACCCAAAAAAGCAACTGAAATAGATCCCACTCAAAAACCTGGGCTTTTTCTGGCGTAGGAGCCAAGCCTGCGTAGTTGGGCGGGGAAGGGGGGTGGAGGGGGGAGTCCTAGGGCCTGCAACAAAAACCCGAGACCCCAGACCGTCAGCCCTGCACCCTTTGACCCCTCTGAACCCTTGAGCCCTACCTTGCGGACGAGATGGCGCCTAAAAGGGTTGGTGGTTCATAGCCCCTAATACAGGAATCATAGTAGTATAGGGAATGATGTCCCCAGTGTTAGGGTTCATTTGCCCTAAGGATCCATCTACCTATGTGGTGTTTACTTGGCCCCTAATGCTACTATATCGGAAGCCCCTTTAAGACCCAACCAAGTACATAGTATATAGGTGCAAGGATGCTTAGGGTAGACCTGAAAATAGGGATCATAGTAGTATACGGTACCAAATTAAACCCGAAAGCCTAGGCCCTAAACCTAAACCCTAAACCCTAAACCCTAAACCCTAAACCCTAAACCCTAAACCCTAAACCCTAAACCTTTTAGGGTTCATGTGGTCCCTCCAAGGTACAAGAAGATGCCGCTGAGAGGCCTAGGGCTGTCGGGCTGCGACCGGCGCCAGCGCCGTGCAACTCGGCGCGGCGCTCCTCGGGTTTAGGGTTTAGGGTTTAGGGTTTGGGGTTTAGGGTTTGGGGTTTGGGGTTTGGGGTTTGGGGTTTAGGGGTTTAGGGGTTTAGGGGTTTAGGGGTTTAGGGGTTTAGGGGGGTTAGGGGTTTAGGGGGGTTAGGGGTTTAGGGGTTTAGGGGTTTAGGGGTTTAGGGGTTTAGGGGTTTAGGGGTTTAGGGGTTTAGGGGTTTAGGGGTTTAGGGTTTAGGGAGTAGGGTTTAGGGTCTGGGGTTTAGGGGATGGAATCTTTGAGCTTGTGAGCATAGGGAGGGGTGGGTTTAACATTCAAGTGTTGAAAGGGCGGGGTTCGAGGTTCTCTCGCAGGGTTTAGAGGCTTAGAGTCTTGACGTAGGCTTATTAAGGGTTTTTCAATCTTTTGGGCTGGTTGTAGGGTAATTTGAGGCAATACTGTTTTTTTTTGGTTAGGGGCAAGGGTGTGTTCGTTTCGGGTCGTTTCGGTTGTTGGTTTTTGTAACTCTAAACCCTAAACCCTAAACCCTAAACCCTAAACCCTAAACCCTAAACCCGCCTTCTTGGGAAGTTGACGGCCTCGCATCGTCTATCGGGAAGGTGGAATACTACTAATAGGGGGGGGGGGGGGGGGGGGGAGGGGGGGGGGGGGGGGGGGAGGGGGGGGGGGGTGGGGTGGGGGGGGAGGCAGGGGATGAGGGGATGAGGGGATTGCACCTAACCCGTAGCCCTAAACCCTAAACCCTAAACCCGAAACCCTAAACCCTAAACCCTAAACCCTGAACCCTAAACCCAAAGGTGATTGGCCAGGGTCTGCCATTCTGCGTACATCCTCTGGCACACTGAAAGCGTCGAAGAAGCGCATCACCTGGGAATGTCGGGTCGTGTGCCCAGGGTCCCAAACCTTAGATACTAATTAGGGTTTAGGGTTTAGGGTTTAGGGTTTAGGGTTTAGGGCTTAGGGTTTAGGGTTTAGGGTTTAGGGTTTAGGGTTTAGGGCTTAGGGTTTAGGGTTTAGGGTTTAGGGTTTAGGGTTTAGGGTTTAGGGTCTAGGGTTTAGGGTTTAGGGTTTAGGGTGCTTGCCAGAGCACAGGAAGGAACACGGACTCGGCGAGCTTGTGCATGGTATTGAAGCCTTGGGCTCGAATGAAGGTCTACCAGACAAAAGGTCTAACACAAAGGAGTGGGGTTTAGGGTTTAGGGTTTAGGGTTAGGGTTTAGGGTTTAGGGTTTAGGGTTTAGGGTTCAGGGTTCCAGGGTTCAGGGTGTAGGGTTTAAGATTTAGCTAGACCCAAGTGAAACCTAGGAATAAGAAGGGTATCCTTTTTGGATTGCAGGGGCTAAGAAGGGAACCTAGACCCCCCAAAAAAGGGAACAAGGGCGTACTCTGGGTCCTACACCAGGCTTTGGGTGCAGGGTTTAGGGTTTAGGGTTTCGGGTTTAAAGGTCCAGTCTAGAATGCTGCTAAGCACAACCTGCTACCAGAACCGGAGCCTAATAGAGGGGCCTGAATAATTAGAATAGGGTTTTGGGGGTTCTTATACCATAGCTAAAAAGGGACCCACACATAAGAGAACACTACTAGTAACTATTCCGACCCATTATAGTAACCTTACTCCCTCTGCCGGACGGCCTGGCGTGCCGCGACCAGGGCGTCCAGCTACCTCAACAGAGATGTCAACAAGACTTCCCTGAGAACCTTAATTTAAAAAAATGGTGCCAATATCCTCTTGGGTTTTATAGAAAAAAAACATCCCAAAGGGGATATAGTCAAGAGGTGTACAGGGCTGCATGGGCCTTGTGGTGGCCCCTTGAGGGTTCAGGGTGTCGGGTTTCGGGTCTTTGGGGTTTAGGGTTTATCCCCTACTAGGCTGCCCAGTAACCAAGGCTTAAAAAGGGTGCCCTTTTTTTGCTTAAAGGGGTTTATAAAGGAACCTTAACCCCCAAAAAAGGGAATAAGGGTACTCCTGGGCATCCTAGCCTAGTAATGTGACAAAGTAGCCCCACAGTACGGAAGCCCAAACTTGAAGCACGCTTTGTCTTCGTGGAAGCTCCGGTCACCACGCTCCCTTCATGGTTCCCCCATAGGGGTTTGGGATTTAGGTTTCAGGCTTTGGGGTTTATGTAGGGTTTAGGGTTCCTACAAGGTGTAGGGTTGAAAAGCAGCAGCGGAGATTTCGGTGTGGAGTCGCGGGGCCAATGGCTTAGGTAAAAAAGAAAAGGTTTTTCCCCTAGGGGGTTTAGGGTTTAGGGTCTAGGGTCATACAGATGGCTGAAGCGAGCGAAAGTATACCCACATCCTTGCCGATGGTATCGACTTACTACGCTATTCTACGCTCCAGCTTCTCAAAGCCTCATGACGACTGAAGAGCCAATACATTAAGACACTTACTGTACACAGTTGGCAATCAAGCCAGCAATCCTGGTTTTGGCCGTATACCGCCTTGAACAATTGGGAGCCCTATTAAAACGAGCAGAAGATATATACATATATATATATATAGCCCATCGGCCTGAAATTGGTGCCCTTTCTTGGGAAGGAGGGAAACCCTATAAAGCCCTAAACCCGGCTAAGGTAGGGGCCCAAAGAGCCCAACACCCCTTACATTTCTATAGTGATCCTTCATATAATTCAAGGTCTATTCCTTCGGGCGGGCAGGCGGGCGGGTGGGAGGGACATGAGGCATTCGCAAAAAGAGTTGCTGGATCATTTATCTAGGTGCTGGGCGCCCTGGCGTCTAAACGCGCAACTCCTAAAAGGGTTGAGAGGCTAGGGTGCAGGGATTGGGGTTTAGGGGTTTGGGGGTTAGGGGTCAGGCGTGTACGGGTTTTGGGATTTCCGGATGGGTTTTTTTGACGGGGGAGAGGGAGGGGTGGGGGCGGGGGCGGGGGGGCGGGGGGGTGGGGGGGGTCATGGTAGGAACCCAGGTGCCAGAGAAGCCGCTTGCTCCTGGCCTGGCAGGCGGTTTCGGGGTTTAGGTTGGGATGTTCGCCTATTGTAACAGTCCTTAATAGGGATTTTCGTACCCCGTACTTTCATCCCTATTAAGGATGTTCGTGTAGGGGGAACATCCCTATAGGGCTTCAGGTTTAGGATTGCGCGACTTTCTGGCCAGCCGGTACCGTCTCCTAACTCCTGGAAAACCAATCATGGTATGGTGTGATGGTGCTTTCTGCTTCAAATCTCTCTAACCCTGCTATGCCCCTTTGTATGCGAGTTTTTTTTCATGGGGCTCTCATTCGCTGGGGGAGGTGTAGAAGTTGCTCATACAGGGTTCCAAAGGCACCATCACAAGAGGTTGTACCTTATTCCCAGCTACAGCATAGTTAGCCCTACAAGCCCAGTTGTACATGCCTCTGAATCTCCAGCCCTAAACCCTAAACCCTGAACCCTGAACCCTGAACCCTGAACCCTAAACCCTAAACCCTAAACCCTAAACCCTAAACCCTAAACCCTAAACCCTAAACCCTAAACCCCAGAAGTGGGGCTGGCAGGATCCAGGGTGCAATGTAGGATAGAGGGTCCAGGCAAGTCTGAGGGACTGCTTGGTGCCGTGTATGGAGTCCCTCTATTCACTACCGAGGACCTGGGGTTTAGTGTTTATTTAGGGTTTAGGGTTTAGGGTTTAGGGTTTAGGGTTTAGGGTTTAGGGTTTAGGGTTTAGGGTTTAGGGTTTAGGGTTTAGGGTTTAGCGTGCTTAAGAACCTCTTCCCCCCCCAAACAAAAAGCACACACGCACACACACACACACACACACACACACACACACACACACACACACACACACACACACACACCACACACCACACCCACACACCACACCCACACCCACACCCACACCCACACCCACACCCACACCCACACACACACCCACACACACACACACACACACACACACACACACACACACACACACACACCCACACCCACACCCACACCCCACACCCCACACCCACACCCACACCCACACCCACACCCACACCCACACCCACACGCACACCCACACGCACACGCACACGCACACGCACACGCACACGCACACGCACAACACCCACACACACGCACAACACACACACCCACACACCCACACACACACACACACACACACACACACACAACAAACATCTTCCTTCTAAGGGTCAGTTGGGAATGAATATCTGCTATTTTTTTTTTTTTTTTTGGGGGGGGGGGGTTGGTAAGCACATAGCTGATGGTTTCCCTCAAACTCAGCTTCCCACCAAAAAATGGTGTAGGATTGGTTCAGGGACGCTTCAGTCCTCATCCAGCTTTCGAGAGAAAAAAAACCTGTTTAGGGCGCTTCGGCTTGAGTTTGGGGCGGTTCGTGGTGGAGCCCTGACCCAAAAAGTCGAAGCGCTTGGCTTGGTGTTAAGGGCTTCGCCTTAAACCCTCAACCCTAAACCCTAAACCCCTAAACCCTAAACGTTTAGGGCTCATGGCTTAGGGGGGTGCAAGTTTGGGGTCCTGGCTCTTGTTGTTGGAAGCTCTTTTGACTTAGGAAGTCTACTTCGCATCCCCTAGAACCCCTTTTATAATCCCCAAAAACCCTAAACCCTAAACCCTAAACCCTTAAACCCTAAACACTACAGTAAACCCTAAACCCTAAACCCTAAATCCCAAACCCTAAACCCTACTCACTAAGTCAACAGGGCTTTCAGGTAGGGTCTAAAGTGCATGGTTCATGCTTGCAGGCCCCACCTGTATCACCCACAGCTTGTTGAACTGAAGTGGGATCCTTCAGGCATGCTTTTGGGCTTAGGGGTTTAGGATTCAGGGTTTAGGGTTTAGGGTTAGTTCTTTTCCTTCTAGCTTCGGGTGCTCACGACAAGGGCCAGCGAATCTCGATTCGCCTTGACCGTCATAGTTGGAGAGCTTACCCTGAACCCCAGACTCCAAGCCCTAAACCCTAGACCCTCCAAAGCTGCCTCCCCATAGGTTCCTAGAATGTCTCTCATCAAAAAAGATTCATGTAAGTACGAGTAGGGCGCATTTGGGTTGAGGGATCGGACTGTCTTTTTGGGGGGTCCACTCTGTGGTCCTCTTTTTACTTAAGTACACGAAGAAAACAACTTAGTAGATGGTTTCTAAGATCTATGTTGACTGTGCGTGCAGTGTGGGATCATGTACAGGATCTGCCCGTCACACTGCCTTTACTTTAAAAGAATGAATGAACGGGGACACAAGCTAGACCCGGGAGTAACCTAGGAATAGAAAGGGTGCCCTTTTTGGTTTGAAGGGGATTCTAAGGGAACCCCAACCCCAAAAAAAGGAAAAATGGGCCTACTCCCGGTCCTCGCAAAACACACAGGGAGGATACAGGTGGGAGGTCAAGGCGAGCTTAACCCTAAACCCTAAACCCTAAACCCTAAACCCTAAACCCTAAACCCTAAACCCTCCGAGCCCCAGGCAGGTGGAACCACAACCCGATCACAGCCAGCCCCACACACAAAGGCCCGAAACAAACCCCCTAGGGTCTAGGGTTTAGGGTTCATGGTTGGGATCGTATTAACGAATTCTTACTTATTCCTTATTTGGGTTTAAGTACGTACCTTTAAAGAAATGTAAAATGATACCCAACTATGACTTGGGTTTAAGCTCCTTTACAAAATGTAAAATGATACCCAACTATGACCAAGAAATATCCAAGCATCTGGTCATCAGTCTTAAGGAGGGCACTCGAAACCCGGGTCTCTGTGGCCCAGCGACCATATGGTAAAAAGGGCACCCTATTGTGTGCTGGTTACTTTTAACAGGGAACCCAGGAGCCTAAAAAATAGTAAAGGGTACCACTGCACTACCAAGGACCCTAAAGGCCCAAACCCTAAACCCTAAACCCTGAACCCTAAACCCTAAACCCTAACCCTCAACCCTCAACCCTCAACCCTGACCCCCTAAACCCTAAACCGTAAACCCTAAACCCTAAACCCCAAAACCCAAAACCCAAAACCCTAAACCCTAAACCCTAAACCCCAAAACCCTCAACCCTAAACCCTAAACCCGAAACCCTCAACCCTCAACCCTCAACCCTAAACCCTCAACCCTCAACCCTCAACCCTACACCCCAAACCCTAAACCCTAAACCCTGAACCCCAAAACCTCAAAACCCCTAAACCCTAAACCCTAAACCCTACCCCCGAGCTACAGACAGACCCAGGCCTGAGGAGTGCAGATCGCCCTCGCCAGCGCGATCGTCAGGTAGACCAGGGCCCCCAAACAGGCCACCTCAGGTTTAGGGCTTAGGGGGTTTAGGGTTTAGGGTTTAGGGCTAGGGTTTAGGGTTTAGGGGTTGAGGGGTTTAGGGATATATCCCAGTTATAACCTGTACTTATAGCCCACTTATAAGCCCCTTGTAGTGCACTTAGAACTTGTTCGTATAGTACCATGAACCTCGAAAGTGGTTCCGTTGTCCCAGAGAGCCCGACACCCCTTGACTAGGGAAAAATCCGAAAATCATAATAAGGATCCCTAAACCCTAAACCCTAAACCTAAACCCTAAACCCTAAACCCTAATTCATTTAAGGAAAAAACCCTTAACTAGAGGTATCGGGACTCTATGGCTTCAGGGTTTGGAGGATCAGGTTTAAGGTCTACGGAAATTGAGGGTGTAGGGTTTAGGGTTGAGCAGGGCTTAAGGGGAAGGCTTGGGGGAAGTCTTGGGTGTAGGGTTCAACGCTCAATCAAAACTTCGGAAAACCTCAGGGTTGAGGGTTGAACATTTTGGAAGGGTTTAGGGTTTAGGGTTTAGGGTTTAGGGTTTAGGGTTTAGGGTTTAGGGTTTAGGGTTTAGGGTTTAGGGTTTAGGGTTTAGGGTTCAGGCTTTCGGAAGATGCTTTGGTGCAAGGCTTGCGACCTTCAGGAGTAGACACGCCAGGTCGGATGTAAGAGTTCTGGCCATCGCACGCACCGCCCAAACCCTACACCCCCAAAACCTAGTTTTTTGGGTTGGAAAGTTTAGGGGTGGTGGCCCTCAAAGAAAAATAGGACTGAACCCCGTTGTTTGCTTAGCGGCGGTATTCGGTCAGGGAGTGGAGTTTAGGAAAACAAGACGTCAAGACCGCCGGTCGTGACCAGCACGCATCGCTGGGGCGCGGGCGAGCCAAACCAACGCAAGCAGGGCACCTTCTGAGACTGTTTGGAGGACGGGGCCCTGCCCTCAAACCCCTAAGCCCGAAACCCTCCAGAGCCTCAAACCTGCGCAATCTGTCCCACGTCGTGCCAGATCCCCCAGACTCCATAGGGTTTGTGAGGGCAACCGTCCTTGCAGGGCATAAGCCTGCCGATGAAAACGAGAGGCTTCAGGGTCGGTTTGGGGCAGGCTGTTCGCGGTTGGTTCTACACCTTCCACGATGGGTCTCGAAAGCCCTTGAGAGAGAAGGGTTTTCGGCCCTTGAAGCTTAGCCTTAAACCCTAAAGCCCATTTCAAAACCCTAAGCCCAAAACCCTTAAACCCTAAACCCTAAACCCTGAAACCCTAAACCCTAAACTGGACTCACTTTGCGCCCAGGAGCTCCCAGGGCGCGGGGGTCGGAGTTCGCATGTCTCCTGGTTGCGCATACAACGCTTATACCCAAAGGCTCCTATATTAGTAGTATCTTTTGGGGTACCTTGTTGGGGGGTAGTATACTAGAATCCCATATAAGAAACCAAAAAGGAACTACATTGGAGGCTTTGGCTGAAAAGGTTAGGTTTCTAGGGTGCAGAGGGTTTTGGGGCTGGGCGGAAAAGGTTTAGCGGGCTGCGGGGGAGGGGTTAAGGCTTAGGGGTTTAGCTACAGGGTACTTAGGGTTTAGGGTCTTCGGGGTCAGGGTTTGAATGTTTAGGGGTGTAGGGTCTGGGCATGGGGACAAAAGTGCTCAGGGCCTTAGCGTTGCAAGGCTCAGGGTCTTCGTGACCGTTGTGGCACCCCGACTCCTTCTTCGCTGGAAAACCGCGATGGGTATTTCCCAAGATAGGGGTACCCCGTTCATACCCCAAATAAAATCGACTCCCCTTGAAGCTCCCAAAAAGGGGTACCCCCGACTTTCGGAAACCCCCAATGCTCACGCGCTGGGACTCATGTTATGAGGCCTGACCTACCAAGAGCACGAAACCCTAAACCCTAACTCGTGATTTGTTGGGAGATCCTGGTGGATGCCCTTGTGCAGAGCGGGCAGCTGGCCTGCGAAGGGCTGAGGCTAGTCTGGGGTTTGGGATTTAGGGTTTAGGGTTTACGATGTAGGGTTTAAGGATTTCTGCTTGGGGATTTTGCAAGTCTTAGGATCCGAAGTGCCCCATGGGATGTCAAAAGGGAAATTGTCATGCGTTCCCTTACTAGCCCGTTTAGGGTTAGGGGTTAGGGGTAAGGGGTTAGGGTTCGGGTTTAGGGTTTAGGGTTTAGGGTTTAGGGTTTAGGGTTTAGGGTTTAGGGTCTAGGGTCTAGGGCCTAGGGCCTAGGGTCTAGGGTCTAGGGTTTAGGGTAAGTGCCATGTGTAAATGGCGCCCCTACACACCCAGGGGGTATGGGGGGGCGGCATGTCACGCGAAGGCATCTGTTGTCAATGTAATCCAACAATTTCATTGGTGCTGGGTTCTTTCTCCCCACCCGCTGTGAGCTTTCACAGGCCACCACCCAAACCATTAGGGTTTTGGGCTGTCCCCCTCAATTCCCACCATTGCTTGCAGGGGTAGGGGGGGTTGGGGGGGGGGGGGGGGGGCGGGGGGGGGGAGAGTAAATATGGGCGCTGTCCATCACTGATCTTCTGGGTCCAGGCACCCTAGAAAAGGGTGGGTACGGCCTGAGCAGGCCGGGTGGGAATTTAGGGTTTAGGGTTTAAGGTTTAGGGTTTAGGGAAGGAGGGAATTGGGGTAGTATAGCGGGGGGGTAGTAGGGAACCATAACATTAATGGGAAACAGGGAACCCAATAATAGAGTAGGAATATTGGAATATACCTACCGGGGGTCCTTACATTCCCTTGATATGGCTACTAAACCCTAAACCCTACACCCTACACCCTAAACCCTAAATCCTACAAACAGGTCGGTCAAAAAGCACATTTCGGGTTGTAAGCAAGCCCGACCTGCAAGTCAGAGGCCGGCCTCGTCTCTGCGACTCGGGAATCAAAGCCGACAGTGCCTGCCACATGCACTCTACAGCTCTATTCTAGACCCAAGAGTTTCACCTAGGAAAAAAAGTTGCCCTTCTTGGTTTCACACGGCCTATGCGGAAACCTAAACCCGTAACAAAAACAAAACACAGGGGAAAAGGGGTTTACTCTGGGTCCTAGCCTTGCACGTTCGGGAATCAGAACAAGGGCGTAAGATTTCGGGTAACTTGTGTATATTCCTTACATCTGAGAGTAGTTACATGGTCCATTAGTATGGGCCCATAAACGGGTACCCCTTATATACCCCTTATATATACCCTATACAACCCAAGGGCCCATACATCAGAACCCTTTAAGGAGGGTGAGGGACCATATTACGGGACCATGAAACTACCCTTATAAGGGTTTAGGGTTTAGGGTTTAGGATTATATATATAGTTCGACCCGCCTAGTCCCGCGGAGCAGTGTCTAGTAGCAAAACCAGACCAGCGCCCCACAGCCTAAATGCAAAACCCCCCCAAAACCGTTGAGCAACCCCTAAACCCTAACGTCGTCAGGAGGTTTAGGGTTTAGGGTTTAGGGTTTAGGGCTTAGGGTTTAAGGTCTAGGGTGGCAGAGGCGGCAGAGGACCTCCCAAAATTCTGGGCCCCTGCATATGGGATCGTAGCGCCAAGGCTTCTGCGGTCTTCGATGCTTCACCGATACGATGTTGAGGCTTCGAAGCCCTACACCCTAAACCGGATAAGCACTAAACCCTAATCCTCAATGAAACACCCTAATCCCTAACCCGATACAACCTAGTCCCTAAACCCTATACACTCTGATCCCTAATCCCTAATTCCTTAACCCTATAAACCCTATAAACCCTATAAACCCTATAAACCCTATAAACCCTATAAACCCTGAACCCAGAATCCATAAACACCCAAGCCCCGCAAGCCTGTAGCACCCTCAACTATACTCCCCTTAGAACCTGAATAAGAATCATCTTTTTAATATCCTCTTGGGTTTAATATGAACAAAAACTTATCAAACATCCCAAGGGGGATATAGAAGCCCTAAACCCTAAACCCTAAACCCTAAACCCTAAACCCTAAACCCTAAACCCTAAACCCTAAACCCTAAACCCTAACAAAAGACTCCCTGAAGCCGCTGCGAAGCACCAGTGTCGACACGCGGCTCGCCAAACAGCCTAAGCCCGGAACCCTTTACAGTTTCGTGTTGAGAGGTTTAGGGGTTTAGGGTGGGGATTTAGGGCTTTTAGGGGTCTAGGGTGTACGGTTGAGGGTTGAGGGATTTAGGGTTCCAGGGTTGAAGATGAAGGGTTAGGGTTTAGGGTTTCGGGGGTTTAGGGTTTTGCCTGCAGGATCGAGTCGGCATGCAGGTCCATCCACAGCAGCGGCAGCGCCTCGGGAAATCTCTCCACTCAAAAAGTTTAGGGTTTAGGGTTTAGGGTCTAGGGTCTAGGGTTTAGGGTTTAGGGTTTAGGGTTTAGGGTTTAGGGTTTAGGGTTTAGGGCGGGTCAAGAAAGTGTCGCTTTGGGCAAGAGGGATCTCAACGAGCGTTCGGGGCTTCGGGTTTAGGGTTTGGGGGTTTAGGGTTTAGGGTTTGGGGGTTTAGGATTTAGGATTTAGTGCAAGGGCGGCAGGTCCAGGGAAGTGGGGATAACCGAGAGGGCTCCCGTCTTACACTCCAAGCCTTCAATTTTAGGGGTTTCAAGGGTGGTGTGTATAACCCAAGGTTCCCTACTACTCCCCACTATTCTTAAAGGCTCCCTAGGTTCCCCACTCATCGTACGGAGATATGATCTGTTCAGAAGAGCGGGAGCCAGCATCCAGCTCTTCGGAAAGTGATTCTATCAAGGAAATTTCAACGGTGGTGGAGATGAACAGCCCGCAATCACCACCGCCTTCCGGCGTGATAATCCCGCTCAACTTGAGATGAAGGCGGCTGCTCGGGTGAGATCCAACCTTTCTCGCTTTAGAGAGCCATATCTCGACGTGAGAAGCCACGTCAGTGGACATCATCTGCCTCCACTGGGCACCAGCATTGTAGATTCCTCTACCTGTGATGTTGGTCATCTTTCTGTCGTCAAGACTCTCATCGTTCAGCAGCTTCGAAGTTGCCCAGCTTGATCGATCTCCAACGCCAGCGTTGCGTCACCATTTATCGCGCCGAGCACGGAATCCATTATTGTTTGCCCCATCTCTGCGACATGGCTCCGAGCTGGCCCAAACCTTAACCTGTGCACCCCAAACCCTCAACAATAGGGTTTCAGGGTACGGCCTTTTTACAGGTGGCTGAAGGATTCGGGTTTGGGGCTTAGGGTTCAAGGTTTAGGGATATTGTGGGGTATTTGGGGGCATCTCACAGTCCGGGCGAAAAGGGTTTAGGGTTGAGGCTTCAAGGCTTAGGGTAGAGGGGTTACGGTGCAGCTTTTTTTGTGCTTTGCCAGCAACTGCGCCATCATGGTGTTGAACTCACGTGCAAACTCATTGTCGCGGGGCGAAAACTCGGACCCTAAACCCAAAACCCAAAACCCTACACCCTAAACCCTGTGCACGTGGGCCAGTCTGCCCTTCGGCGCGGCAGCTGTTTCGGTAAAACCCTCACACCCCCAAGCCCTTTAAGCAGTCATGAGTCTTTCATTTCTCAACCCTTACAAAAGCACTACACCCCACACCCTTTCCTCCCCCAAGCCTTAAACTCACCTTGCGGCCGCTGGTTGTCTCGACTTACTTCAACGGCACAGTCGAAACAAAGCTCGAAGTTGACTTCCACCTTCATTTCGCCACCAGCACACTATAAGGGTTAGGGACACTAAGGGTTAGAGTTTGGGGGTTTGGGGATTGGGGGTTGGGGTTTGGGGGTTGGGGTTTGGGGGTTGGGGTTTAGGGTTTAGGGTTTAGGGTTTAGGGTTTAGGGTTTAGGGTTTAGGGTTTAGGGTTTAGGGTTTAGGGTTTAGGGTTTAGGGTTTAGGGTTTAAATCCTGAAGGCAGCCCCAGGCACCGTCTCATTCAGCTGCGGCTCGCCTGCATCCTCCAGGGCCTTTGCGTGCCAGGGTATACGAACTAGGGGTTAGGGTTTGGGGTTTAGGGTTTAGGGTTTGGGGTTTAGGGTTTGGGGTTTAGGGTTTGGGTTTGGGGATTTAAGGATTAGGGGAAACCTGAGGCTGCGGGTTTATCTAGGGGTTGTGACTTGGACCCTCAAGGTCCCCCTGAGGGGTACGAGTCTTAATCCCTTGATACCTATACGCCCTAAACCCTGAACCCTCTGATGTAGCTTTATGAAGGGTTCCTGCATGAACTCCTCCCACAAGAAGGCCAAGGGCGGGGTCTTTTCTTATGTGAGAGGCTTAGGGGCTTAAGGGGTTCAAGCAGAGAATCCCGCAGAAAATCCCGAGAATCCCTCCAGAACCCAGCTAAAAGAATCCCACGGTAGGGTTTAGGGTTTAGGGTTTAGGGTTTAGGGTTTAGGGTTTAGGGTTTAGGGTTTAGGGTTTAGGGTTTAGGGCTTAGGGTTTAGGGTTTAGGGTTTTAGGGTTTTAGGGTTTAGGGTTCTTAGGGCCTTCTAGGATCTCTGGGATTTAGAGGGGTTGAGAGCTTCAGGGGTTTGGATGCCGGGATGCTGAAAGCTCGATGCCGGTCGCGCTTCCTTCAGCAGGAGAGGGGGGTGGGTGGGGGGGGGGGGGCTGTTTAGGGTTTAGGGTTTAGGGCTTAGGGTTTAGGGTTTAGGGTGTAGGGTTTGGGGGAGTGGGGGAGTGGTTTAGGCTGTATTGGGCTCGCTTGGAAAGTGTTCAAAATCGTGGCCCCTCTTGATTGCTGTGTTAAGGAGCTTAAGAAACCAAGCAACAAAGTTAAAGCCCTAAACCCTGAACCCTAAACCCTAAACCCTAAAGGAACCCGAAACCCGAAACCCAAAACCCAAAACACCCCAACATCGAATTTTGGTTGGTAGCCGAACTGAAATTCCGAGGGAACCTTAAGGCAGCTTCGGGAGTGGTGGGGAGTGTTGGGGAACCTCGGGTGACATACCCCCCCCCCCCCTTGAATCCCCCTATAATCAACTGAAGTTCCTTATCAGCATCCCCGCTTCCAGCACGGGGTGTGTTTGGGTCTCAGTGCGTGTGGTTCGCTGCAGCTCAGGATTTGGGTCTTGGGGTTTAGAGTTTAGTGAGGGTTTGGGGTCTAGTGTTTAGGGTCTTCAAATCTTTCCTCCCACAACCTATCATTGCTGACACGAGGCCGCCTCATAAACCTCAAGCTTCTCTAAACCGAAGACACTGAAACCTCAAGCCCTGAACCCTAGAACCCTAGAACCCGTCACCTTCACAGTTTAAGAAGCCCACAAACCCTGAAACACCCAAAAAGCCCTCAACATTTACATGAAACAAAGCAGAGAGAAATTGAAGGCGATGGACCCCCAAACCGCCTAGGGTTTAGGGTTTGACCCTAGACCCGAAAACCCCCCAACACTTGCCAGGAGGCCCCCAAGCGCATTGTGAAGGTATCGGGCACAGGGTGGAAGATTTAGCGATACCAGCGAGCCCAATACCCCTTAATTAAGGAATAGACCTTAAACTAGAGAGAGATCCATGATATGGTCTAAGGTGTATTTCTGAGCAAAGGGGTATTGGGCTCTTCGGGTCTGGTGCTTTGAAGGTTTAGGGTTTTTTCGGGTTTAGGGGGTTCAAGGGGCCAAGGGGTTTCGGGTTTGAGGGGTTAGTGGGGCCTAGGGCTTTGGGGGGTTTCGTGGGGTTGAGGGGTTAGGGCTTAAGAGGGTTTAGTGTTAAGTGGTTCAAGGGGGTTTAGGGTTCCGGGGGTCTGGTGATTCATGCGTGGAGGCTACTGAGAGCTTCTGACAAGAAGGGCTGATGAGGGCTTGGGGTCTACTAATTGCTGAAGAACTTCAAAAAATTTAAGACAATAATCCCTACATTGCCTTATAAGGAAGACGTTTTTTTTTTTTTTTTGGGGGGGGGGTTGGTTTAGCGGTAAAGGGTCGAGGGGGCTTAGGAGTTTTGGGTTCAGGGGCTTAGCGCTTTACAGCTCCAGGGGTTTAAGGAGAGAAGGTTTAGGGTTTACGGTTTAGGGTTTAGGGTTTAGGGTTTAGGCTTCTAGCCCTTTGAGGTTTTGAGAGGCTGGTTGTTGGGGGGGGGGGGGGGGGCGATCTGCATCCAAGGCTCCTATCGGTGCCCAAATCAGGACCTTGCAAAGCCCTCCGAAAAGCCAATAAGCCTAAAGCCCTCTTTTAGGGTTTAGGGGTTTAGGGTTTAGGGTTTAGGGTTTAGGGTTTAGGGTTTAGGGTTTAGGGTTTAGGGTTTAGGGTTTAGGGTTTAGGGTTTAGGGTTTAGGGTCTGGATCCTCATCACGGCTTACTTGGAGGTTCGTGGTACTTATTGAGCCAAGTATAACTGTACCTCTAACCCAATGAGAAACATGTTAGGGCACTTAAGAGGCTTGTAAGTGGGTTCTAAGTGCAGTTATAACTGGGTTCCAGAAGTGCCATGAAGCTCCCAGTTACTGGGACCCCCCAATCGGGGTGGGGAGCTAAGGGGTGCTGAGCTTCGAATGCCCCACACAACAGCAAACCAGCGCGAACACCAGGACTTTGCTACCCCGAAAGCATCGCAAGTAAAGAGAGCGTAACCTACTGAGTAGAGCAAGCTGACGCACTAGACCCGGAGCCTACCGCGCTCGAGCCCGCAACGGGGGTTGATCCAAACTCTGGGGAGTCTTGGCACGCTACCTTCAACCCTATAAACACTACACCCACCCAAGATCCTAAACCTTAAGCCCTAAACCCTCAACCCTAAACCCTTAAATCAAACCCTCAGCCTTAAAACGTGGACTCAAAGCCCTAAACCCCAACTCCTACTGAAGTTGAGCCCTGGGACGACAGTCTTGACCGCGACGGCTTGGAGAGCATTGGAAAGCTCCTGTGCCCAACTTGGATTTTGGGTTTGGGGTTTAGGTTTAGGGATCTTTAAACCGTAAATCCTAAACCCTAAACCCCAAACCAACCCTAATTGGAGGAGTTCTGGATGCACAGGTCCCAGCAAGTTTTGGGGGGACGGCTCAGGCGGCTTGTTTGAGGTGTCTAGGCCGTTTAGGGGTTTAGGGCTTCGTGGGGGTGTAAGGTTCGGGGTTCAGGGGGTTCAGGGGATTTAGCTTGGCCTGAGGGCTTAGAGGGCTGAAGGTTTAGGAGGCACAGGGTTTGAATTGTTGAGTCTCTAGGGACCAGACACGATCTCTCCTTCAGAACTGTCGCCGATTGATTTTTGCTCCGTGGACGTATATAGGCTTGCGCACTTGTTGCTTCTCTAGGGGAGGCCAGCATACCTTTATAGGTTGGGGTTGGGATGTTCCCCCTTATACTAACAGTCCTTCATAGGGATGAGAATAGGGGGTAACCCTAAACCCTGAACCGTGAACCCTAAACCCTAAATAAACCCTAAACACTAAACGCTAAACCCTACCCCCTAAACCCTAAACCTAAACCCATCCCTATTAAGGACTGTCAGTATAGGGGGGAACCTCCCAAGGTTGTGATATGTTTCTCACTAACTAGGGGGGTATAGGTTTGGATCTGCCACACCGCAAGGTACCTCCGGGACAACAGAAAGGGTTTAGGGTTTAGGGTTTAGGGTTTAGGGTTTAGGGTTTAGGGTTTAGGGTTTAGGGTTTAGGGTTTAGCGCTCATGCACCCCGAAGACACTGCGAAGCCTCCCCAGGACCAGCGTGGCAGCGAGGAAGTTCCACCTGCGTCAGCCATAAACCCTAAACCCCAAACAAGGGCACTTGTTCCACAGCTAGGAAAGCCAAATAACACAAGGGGAATAGGGCAACCGTGCGGGCCGGGGCGCTAGTGTGCTGAGTATCGGACGAGGAGGTTTCGGGCCGATTTTGTGGGGCAGAGTTGCTGTCTGGCTGCAACCGTCATGCACGCTTCACACAGCGCCTGTGAAGTCTCTCAAGCGTCAGAAGGCAAGCACGAAGGCGACAAACCTAAACCCCAAGGCCCAAAAAATCGAATAAAAGCCAAGCCGAAACCCAAAATGGCTTGTAGCCGTTGCAACGCAAACCCGCTCGGTACTTCACACGCTTTCGTCTACGGGTAGTTGCATGGTCCCTGATTAGGGTCCCTTGCCTTCTGCAAGGGGTTCTGAAGCAGGGGCTCTTGGGTTGTATAGGGTTTAGGGTTTAGGGTTTAGGGTTTAGGCTTTAGGCTTTAGGCTCGCCATGAACGGGCCCATACTCAGGGACTACCCGAAGAAGTTCCACGTTCGCATTTATGCGGGAGGAGAATCAGATCGATAAGATAGCACCCCTTAATGAGGCTTAGGCGCTTTAGGGCTTACCTTTTGTGTACTACGGCCCGTACCCGACAATGGGAGCGGATTTTGCAGAAAGGGAGTGGGCTTAACGTTTAGGGGTTTACAGTTCAGGGTTTGTGGGGAAATTCTTTTCCTGATAGGACATCATTCACCGACGGCAAATTGTAACATTGGGACCCTTTCAGGCAACTAACTTGATCTTGGCTTGTCCCGAAAACGCCCAATGCAGTTAGTGCAGTCGTCTTAGCCCCCGTCGGGAAAGATAGAGGAGTAACGACAGAGAGGATGCACAGCTACGTATTGCTTAAGAAGCCCCCAAAAAACATCAAAGACACAAGTCCTTATAAGGGCAACAGAGGGATCATTGTGTTTAATTTCTTGGGAGGCTTTTAAGTAGACAAGTAGCAGCGGAAGCGTGCATGGTAAAAGCAGTGGCGGTGGCGCGTGCCCAGCATACCGACCCTGCCCCCCCCCCCCGAAGAGCCTCGGCGACCTGGGTGACATTTTTCACCTCGGCTTCTTCAGGCACGCGCACAGCCCTAAATCCTACAACCCTAGTACCCTAAAACCCCGAACCACCCCCCCCCCAAATAAAAAAAAAGGATGATAATAATAATAATAGTAATAAGAATAAACTAAAACCCTAAAACAAACCTAACACACGAAACCGAAGGTTTAGGGCTTCGGTGTTTACGGGGTTAGGAGCGGGTCAAGAGTTTGGGGGGTTTGGGTTTAAAGTTCAAGAAGTTTCAAACCATCAAGAAGCTCAACCGGTTCACCCTCAACCCCAAGCCACGCTCTATAACCCCCTATAGCCCCCCCCACCCCCCCCCCCCCCCCCCCCCCCCCCCCCCCCCCCCCCCCCCCCCTGGCCTTACTACCCCCCTCTAAGTCTATGCTGCCCCCCACCTTGGTTCCCACCCGTAAATCACCCTAATTAGGCTTAAAAAGCCTGAACTATGGGGGGGAATAGGAACCTTGGGGGGGTAGTATAGAGGGGGCTAGTACTTGGACCTGGAGGTTCAGGGTACTTGTAACCCAACTTAAGTGTAGCTATAACCCACTTAGCAGCCTTTAAGTACTTTCATGGGGTCATACATGGGCCAGGGTTTAGGGTTTAGGGTTTAGGGTTTAGGGTTTAGGGTTTAGGGTTTAGGGTTTAGGGTTTAGGGTTTAGGGTTTTATAATGGGGTTACTATGTACCACGAACCTCCCAGTCGGGGCACCCATGGAGTCAACTCCAAGCCGAGTGACTTCCTGGAGCAACTGTCTCGGACGGTCGGGATCTCCACCGTCCTCTCACAGTAGGGTTTCCCAAAGAGCCCAATACCCAAAGAGCCAAAAAACCCTGAATTCAGGCATATTTCCTTGAATCATATTGAGGATCCCTTTATCAATTAAGGTATGAGAGGACAGTAGGGTTTCCCACAGAGCCCAATACCCCGTTTAAGTCATATGGAGGTTTACGAACACAGGGTGCCCTATAATGGACCCCCAAATGGGAAGATTCCCTTATAGTAAGGAATCAAATAAGGTACCCCGAATTTCGGAAACCCCTTCATATTCCGGATGATTTAAGGCATATTCCTCTACTGAGGGGGCCCTGTCCAGCCCCTTGAAAGGGAACCATAGGCGGATATACGGTGAAGTCCCCCCCCCTCCCCCCCCTCCCCCCCGCCTCCCCCCCGCCTCCCCCCCGCCTCCCCCCCGCCTCCCCCCCCCCCATGGTAGGGAACCCGCCCCGGTGGTTGGGGTGGGTGGGCTTTATGGTTTAGGTTGACGAACCGTAGTAAGGAATGTTCCTTAAACCAGAGTAAGGATCCCTACACAACTTAAGGCACCTTCCGGGGTTCTAAGGGTACTGGCCTCTCTGGAGGGTATCTAACTCCACACCCGAAAGCTGTTCCCTACTTCGAGCTGGGAAGTTGTTGATTTTAAGTTCAATTGAGGGGCATAAGAAGGGACCGCTTTATTTTATTCCCCTCTCTGACCCCTCTATATATATATATATACATATATATATATATTTACATACATATATACATATATATATATATATCCAGATATACATATACACCCTTATCTAGTCTCCATTATAAGTAACCCCTCAATAACCCCGAAAACAACTCCGAAGGCCCCTCCTGTAGTCCATTGATTCAAGAATGCCAACCTTGAGTGCCTGTACTTGGAGGTTCATGGTACTTATTAACAAATTACCACTCTACTTATAACTGTACTTATAACCATATTAGGGCACTGAAGAGGCTTATAAGTGGGTTATACGTACAGTTATACTTGGTTAGCAAGGACCATGAACCTCCAAGTAGGTACCCGCAGCACATGTCTACCGTAAATTATAGAGGGGGTTTAGGGTTTAGGGTTTAGGGTTTAGGGTTTAGGGTTTAGGGTTTAGGGTTTAGGGATATTCCTTGATGATGAAGGGGCATTGGGCTCTTTGGGACTAGGACTTCGGGCTCGACATCGGCCACCTTGCCAGGGTCAGCTGGGCCAGCAGCAGGCAGAGAAGCTATCTTCGCCTGGCTCACCCGGTCCCGAAACGCCCAAGCCCCCCTAAACCCTAAACCCTAAACCCTAAACCCTAAACCCTAAACCCCTAAACCCCCCTCTAGACTCATAGGGTTTTGGCCCAGGGTTTAGGGTTGAGGGTTTACGGAACCCTAAACCCTAAACCTGACCTCCTAAAGCCCTTTAGGGATCATGTTTATAGGGTTTAGGGTTTAGGGTTTAGGGTTTAGGGTTTGCGGTATCCGCGCATGGGCTAGGACTGAAGGCTTCGGGCTTCGAACGTGGAGCCAACCCTATCCTGAGCTCTCAACCCACACTTTTTGGGGTTTAGGGTTTAGGGTTTAGGGCTTAGGGTTTACGGTTTAGGGTTTAGAGTCAAGGGGGTATATAACCCAAGGTTCCCTATTCTTAAGGGTTTAGGGTTTAGAGTTTACGGGCTGTCATGGAAGTTCCTCGGGGCTCAGAACCAAGCCCTCGCACTTCGCCAAGACGTCAACGTCGGGCTCGTCGTCAGGAACGGCTTGTGTGGAACTAGAACCGTAGCCATCGAGCGTCATCGATCAGCGGCATGCCGAATGGTTAAGGCATTCGGCAAAAAGCGTGTTCCTCTTGCTTGCTTTGCCTAAAGCAACCACTAACCCTACACCCTAAACCCTAAACCTAAACCCTTGTCATCCTCCCAATCCTCCCTGGAGTCCTTGGGGTCATTGCTTCTCGGCGTGTCTGGCAAGTCTGGGCCTTCGTCCTTCGCTCTCGTCGCGTTCATCGCTATCTGACGACTCCCCCTCGAACGTTCAGGGTGGCGTGGTCAACAATGACACGGTTTAGGGTTTAGGGTTTAGGGTTTAGGATTTAGGGTTTAGGGATGCTGAACCGCATATTCCTCTGCAAGCATCACAGCGATAAGCCCCCCAAGGCTTTTCCAAGGTTCCCTGGGTACCTACCCCGCTTGAACGCCCCTCCCTCAAGGGCCCTATAAGCCTTAGATTCAAAAAGGCTTTCTTAACCCAAGAAGGGAAAGACAAAAACCCTAAGCCCTACTTGCTGAAGATACCCCCGAGAAATAAAGATATTCTTTCTTATAAGAGCAATATAGGGGACCCTAAACCCTAAACCTTGAACCCTAAACCCTAAACCCTGAACCCTGAACCCTAACCCACTACCCAACAACCTGGTCCGTGCCTCCTCCAGCATTTTCTTCAACTGCTGGATCTGCTCCTGGCGTCGACGGTTTATGGTTTAGGGTTTAGGGTTTTACATTCAGAGGTGTATGGAGTTTAGGGTTTAAGGTTCGGGGATGTGTGGGGAGGTTGGAGGCGCATAAAGAGTTTAGGGCTGCAGGTTTAAATTCAGGACTGACCCCAGTGTAGAGATTGGGTCCGGCGCTAGGAATTCCCTCTATAGCCCAAGTCATATCAAAGCATAGAACGCACCTGGCAATCCTAAAACCTTAGGGCTGAGGGGCTCAAATAATAGGACCCTCCACCCTCAACCTTCAACCCTCAACCCTCAACCCAAACCCAAAACCCAAAACCCTAAGCCCCACCAAAAGAACCTTTTCTTATATATAGAAAAATGTGTGTATACATATATATATATACCTACTTATTAACTTATGTACATTTTTTGTTTTTCTGTGTGTGTGTGTTTTTTTTTTTTTTTGGGCGGTGGGCGGGGGGGGGGGGGCAGCGTAGGCCGCGACCACTTCAGGGGTCCACTCTCCTGCGCATCTTCGAGCTGGATCTTGAGCTGTTGCCTTAGCTTGGGCTAAGGGGGGTTGAGGGTTTGCAAGGTTTAGGGCTTTAGGGTTTACACTCCTAAACCCTAAACCCTAAACCCTAAACCCTAAACCGTAAACCCTAAGGGAAACCCTGAGAGTTAAGGATTCGGGCCTCGGGCTAAGCGTGGCGAAGCGGGATCCTGAGCTTTAGGGATTTGGGTTTAGGGTTTTAGGGTTTAGGGTCTGGGGTTTAGGGTTTAGGCTGCCCAGTAACCAAGGCTTAAAAAGGGTGCCCTTTTCTGCTTAAAGGGGTTTAGAAGGGAACCTAAACCCCCCAAAAAGGGAATAAGGGTACTACTGGGCATCCAAGTGAAAGAGGTTTAGGGGTTTAGTGGTTCTTGTGATTCTTGTAGAAAAAGCACTACGGAATCCTAAACCCTAAGCCCTAAACCCTAAAACAAAACCCTAAATACCCGAACTATCCCGAATCCTCTCAAGCCGGCACCCTGTCTGAAGCCACAGAGTATCCCTCATCAACCTAGGGTTTAGTGCTTTGGGTTTAGGGTTACGAGGTTTGCCCTTCAGTAGACCCTAGGCCTAAGGCTTCGGGTTTAGTCTCTTTGGGCAGGTACATATATATATATATGTATGTCACAGGACCATTTAACTACCCTCAGACTGCCCTCAGATCTGTATGCCCTAAACACCCCTAAAAACCCGAAGAAAAAGGGCCCAAATTCAAAGACTTGAAACGGGTTGAAGACAACCCCGGCTTAAGAATGCAGACCTCCAACCCAAACCTGTAACGTTGTTGACCTACAGGGTTAGTAGTATCTACCCCCCCCCCCCCCTAAGTAGGAAGCATAAACCTCTTAAACGTTGGAGGGAAAAGGAGCTCCAGGAAAGCCTTTCAGTACCTTTGAGCATAAAGCCCCCCACATCACTTGAAACCCTAAACCCTAAACCCTAAACCCCAAACCCTGAACCCTCTCCCAAACTCTCCAAGGGACCCTCGCGAAACACCCCCAGGTCCCGGGAACGTTCATGTCAGAAAAGTGAAGGGGGTTCGGGCTGAGGGTTTAGGGCTTATGGTTCAGGGTTTAGGTTTTACTTGGAGGCTCATTGTACTTACTAACCACTTCTAACTGTACTTATGACCCACTTATAAGCCCCTTAAGTGCCCTAACATGGTTATATAAGTACAGTTGTAAGTACAGTTAGAACTGGTTAATAAGAACCATGAACCTCCAAGCAGGGTTTAGGGAAGCAGTGTTCCGCATTGGGTTTTTCGTCCTGATCACTGTCCAAGGCCGTTCAGAAGTCTGGGTTTCAGCGTTACAATCATGGGTTCCCCTACTCTCCCCCCCCCCCCTCTTTTCTACCCCCCGAGGTTTCCCCCTTAAATAACCTGAATTAGGCTTAATGGTCCCTGATAGCCTTATCTAATTATCGGGGGAACCTTGGGGGGTGTATAGAGGGGGGTGGTAGGGGAACCCATGATATGAGAGTTTACGAAACTAAGCAACCCCAAATATAGACCCCCAAATAGTTGGATCCCCTTTTGTAAGGACCCCAATAACTCTAAACCCTAGACCCTCGAACCACAGTGAGGTATAAAGGGGGGGTAGTAGGGGAACCCATGCTACAAGGGGCTTTTTCGGTCCCCTTGCAGAACTGTGGCAGCGGAGGCGACTGAGCTCGTCACTCGCGAGAGGCAGCACGAAGGCCTTCGGCCTGAAAAACCAAACCCCAAACCCCAAACCCCAAACCCCAAACCCCAAACCCCAAACCCCAAACCCCAAACCCCAAACCCCAAACCCTAAACCCTAAACCCTGGGGGATGGAGGCCGCTTTAGCACTCACAACTCGCAGACCTGCGAACTTCTCGGATGCCAGGCGCTGGAGGGTTCAGGGCTTTGAGGATTCCGAGACTACTTGCAGGTTCAGGGTTTAGGGTTTAGGGTTTAGATTTTGGGATACTTAAAAACCCCACTTATGCGTCCACTTACAACATACTTGGAGGACTTAGGGGGCTTGTGAGTATAGCTGGGGTGAAGAGTATTCTGAACCTCCAAGTAGAAGCCCTGAACTCTGATCCCCTAAACCCTAAACCCTAAACCCTAAACCCTAAACCCTAAACCCTAAACCCTAAACCCTAAACCCTAAACCCTAAACCCTAGCGTGGTGCCAGAGGCCCCTTGACTAAAGCCTCTCAGGCCGAAGCTAGCAGAAAAGGCTCTCAGCACGAAGGTTTTTCGAGAACAAACCCCAGCATCCCACAGCCCTTGAGATTTCCGACAGCTGCCTTACAAAAACCCTAGACCCCTTATCTTCCTCGCCTTCACCCTAAACCCTAGACCCTAAACCCTAAACCCTAGCCCTAAACCCTAAACCCTAAACCCTAAACCCTAAACCCTAAACCCTAAACCCTCGTAGTCCTGGAGCTTGAGACCCCGTCAGACCAAGGCCCAAGCGCGGTAGGCCTCCTCGATTTTCAAGCCTCGCTAAGTGTTGAGAAGCTCAAAACGCTCCATGTTTGGGGCTGAGGGCTTTCAAATTTAGGGTTTAGGGTTTAGGGTTTAGGGTTTAGGGTGTAGGGTTTAGGGTTTAGGATTTAGGGTTTAGGGTTTAGGGTTTAGGGTTTAGGGATGTTGGGAGGGCTTACGGGTTGTGGAGTTTAGGGTTTCGATTGTGGAGTTTGGGGTACGAGCCCGAGCTCTGTAAGTTCAAGGGTTCAGGGCTTCATATGGTTTACCCTAAACCCTAAACCCTAAACCCGAAACCCTAAACCCTAAACCCTAAACCCTAAGCCCTAAACCCTAAACCCTAAACCCCCTTAATTGGGATCCCTCCTTTTTACCCCCTTCAATGGCAAGAAGCCCTTGAGACCCCTCAGCCTGAGGCCCCTGCGGGCCACCTCGGCAGCCTCGGCCTGATTAGGGTTTGGGTTTAGGGTTTAGGGTTTAGGGTTGAGGGTTTAGGGTTTAGGGTTTGGGGTTCAGGGGTTCGGGTTTGGGGTTTGGGGTTTGGGGTTTAGGGTTTGGGGTTTGGGGTGTAGGGTTGAGGGATTGTTGGGTGTTTAGGGCTGGAGGATCAGGCACTTAAGAGCTTTAAAGGTTTGGGGGTCAACAGCTTGAGGGTTGGGGGTTGCAGGTCTAGGCATTTGCGTTGCAGTGCACTGCATGCACGTACACAAACGACAGACACGCACCTGTATCTATCTGTCTACATATATGTACATGTCTATAGATGCTTTTTTACAAGTGAAAATGATCCCGGCCCTTAGTTCGCCAACCCCAAAGCCCCCCAGCCTGCCCTAAATCCGAAACCTTAAACCCTAAACCCTCACCCCCAAAATGCACCACGGGAGGGGGGGGGGGGAAACCTAAACCCTAAACCCGAACTAAACCCTAAATTAATTACTTAAACCCTAAACCCTAGACCCTAAACCCTAAACCCTACACCCTAAACCCTAAACCCCTTGCCTCTGCAGCATGCAGGGCCGCCCGTTGCTCCGCCTCGATGCGGTCAGCACCCGTCCTGAGAAGTGTAGTTTCGAGGGACCCAGAGAGCCCGATACCCCTTAATTAAGGAATATGCAATATACCTTAAGGATCCTTGATATGATTTAAGGAATATACAACATACCTTAAGGATCCTTAACCTGATTTAAGGAATATTCCTTAATTCAGGGTACTGGGCTCTTTTTGGGGTTGTGCGAACCGTGCGACATCTTGCCTGTATTATAGTATGGGCTTTGGATGCACGACTGAACCGCTCCTGCGAACGCATGAGAGTTCTGTCTCTCAAGTACATCACCGTGAGAAGGGCACCACAAAAACAACTCACCTCCCGAAGGCTGAATCGCCCTCACCTGAAGCCTGCAAACCCTATAACCCCCGGAACCCTTCGAGCCTTTTCTGTCTGAAAAACCCCCTATACGCCCTCTAAACCCTCTAAACCCTCTAAACCCAGGCCCGAAACCTTGAAAACAAACTGACCCCTAAACCCTAAACACCAAAACCCTAAACCCCAAACCCCAAACCCTAAACCCGAAACCCTAAACTACCCCAAAACCCGAACCCGAAACCCGAAACCCTAAACAGGCTTCCCCCTTCACGGATGGCACCTGGGACTCCCCACACTTTGTCCGCCAGCCGATGCTCGGCCTCGTCTGCCCTCTTCGCAGAGGCTTTGGCCTGGGCTTAGGGTTTCGGGTTTCGGGTTTCGGGTTAAGGTTTAAGGGTTAAGGGTTTAGGGTTTAGGGTTAGGGTTTAGGGTTTAGGGTTTAGGGTTTAGAGCTTAGGGCTTAGGGTTTAGGGTTTAGAGTTTCGGGTTTAGGGTTTAGGATTAGGGCTTAGGGGTTTGACTTAATAAGTCTACTTAGTATCCCCTAGAAACCCTCTTACAATCCCCATAACCCACCTTACTGCCCCTACTTCCTTAGTCAAAAGGGCTTCCAAGTCATATAGGGGTTGGAACACTTACTGACGGCATCCCCATATGGCCCCTGTAAAATTATGCTCTAAAAACCTCCAAAACCCTAAACCCTAAACCCTAAAAGCTCTATTCTCAGTATGACTATTGAAGCCCCTATATTCCGGGTGTTGTATCACGCGCGGAGCCGTAGGCCATGAGCTCTTTCCAGGTCGCAGCTGCCCTTTGCAAGGTCGCTGCCTCCGATCTGGCACAGATATCGGCGGCCTGATCAACAAGCGCACTCTGCTTGTCCGGGGCTGTGGTGCGATAGCGGCTGGCGGATCTGAGGATGAGCGCAAGGAGCTGGACGCACTCTGCGTTCCTGGCCTGGACGGGGTTTCCGCCTTCTCGTGCCTGTGTCCATCCATGGAGGCAAGCTGCTCGGGGACACTGGCTGCCCCGCTAGAGGCGGAGGCATACACGGCACGGGCGGCTCCCGCGACACCTTGCATGCTGGCCAACCTGACAGTCTGCCAGGCGTCTGCTACAGCGCGTCCGGCCTCACGCAATGCTTCATTGTGCGCGCTGAAAAAGAAGGCGAAGTCCCAGTCGTCCTTCACGCCATTGTCATGCTGCCAGGGGCTCACCCTTTCCGACTGCACCGCACGAAGCGCACCATCCGGGGATGGCATGGCTCAGGCCAACCAACCAGCCTGGTTGGCTGCGGCAGCACAGCCGCAAATCCCAATCTATCCTCTCGGCCGCACGCCACAGACAGTGGCACCGAGAAAGAAAGGAGGGCCGCCCTGGCGCTCAGCCACTGTGGCAGCCAGTTTTGGCGCTTCGGCCAAAGGGCGGAAGAGAGAGGTGCGCAGAACAATGACATGTTGCCAAGCCCACCGAACCGAGACATGTAACAGGGTTTGGGGATTGGGGCTCTGGGGCTCAGAGTGCTTAGGGGCTTTCAGAGGTGTAGGGTCTCATGGCTGAGGGGTTGTTTTAGTGCTTCGGGGCTTTGCGCGGCTTACGGTCTCAGGGCTCAGAGCGTTGTTGGTTGGTTAGTATATAAACCCTAAGCCCTGAACCGCATTTATTTTGGTCAGGTAATGGTTTCCGGGGAATGTGTTGGCGTCTGGGGAGTGGGCGGGGTTGGGTCAGCACTGGGCTGGCTCTAGGGATTAAACCCCTATAAGCCCTAAACCCTAAACTCTAAATCCTAAACCCTAAGCCCTAAACCCTACACTCTAAATCCTAAACCCGAGGCCCTAAACCCTAAACTCTAAATCCTAAACACTAAATCGTAAACCCTAAACCCTAAACCCTAAACCCTAAACCCTAAACCCTAAACCCTAAACCCTAAACCCTAAACCCTAAACCCTAAACTCTCTCAAAGCTTCTTTTTCTGAAGCGGTCAGGGGGCTTTGAGGGATTTAACCCTCTGAAAGACCTGTAACCCCAACACTTGCAGGGTTTAGGGTTTAGGGTTTAGGGTTTAGGGTTTAGGGTTTAGGGTTTAGGGTTTAGGGTTTAGGGCTGCAGGCTCCAGAGCCGAAGACATGTGAGGATCTACTTCGAGGTTCATGGGCACTTCCAACCGCAATTTTAACTCTACTTCTAAGCTCCCTAAGTCCCCGAAGTAGGTTAAGTGTAGAATCAGAATGGGGGATCAAGAAGTACCCATGAACCTCCAAGCATGAAGATTAGGGGGATGGAGGGGGGTTCGTATCCCTAAACCCTAAACCCTAAACCCTAAACCCTATAACCCTAAACCCTAAACCCTAAACCGGGATTTGGATGCACCCCCCAAAACCTACAGCACTCGCGAGCTCCTGCGGCTCATCCTTGGCTGCGCCCTAAACTCGCTCTTTGCGACTTACTGGTTCATGGTACTACGGGGTTTAGGGTTTAGGGTTTAGGGTTTAGGGTTTAGGGTTTAGGGTTTAGGGTTTAGGGTTTAGGGTTTAGGGTTTAGGGCTACCTCCTTGAGGTCCTACTTGAAGGTTCATGGTACTTACTAACCAATTATAACTGTACTTATAACCCTACTTTACTTATAATACCCCTAGAGGGCCTTATAGGGGTTATCCCAATTGTAAGTAGGGTTATAAGCCCAGTTATAATTGGTTAGTAAGTACCATGAACCTTCAAGTAGTATTAGGGGGACCCTTGGGAATATAGACCCTCTGAATAAGGTCCCTGCTTAAGAGAGCCAGAAGAGGGTTAAGAAGGGGGTTCCCTTGTAAGGGTCCCCCTTATCCTACCTAGGAGACTTACCCTAGGAGCCCAATACCCCTTAATTAAGGAATATAGCTTAAATCATACTAAGGATCCCTGTATAATTTAAGGTAGATTCCTTAATTAAGTGGTATTGGGCTCTCTGGGTAGGACTTACAACCCCACACCCCCAAAACTCTCGACTCCACACCCAGAGTCCCAGGGTCCCACACCACAAACCCTCGACCCGGCAAAAAAAAACACAACCGAAATGCCAAAAAAAAAAAAAAAACAGGAGAAACAACGCCGGAATCCGAAATCTCACCCTTCCACGACAAAAACCCCGAAATACCCCGAAATACCCCCCCCCCCTCCAATTCCCACACCCCAAGAGCATATTTTTCAGCTGTGATGCCAACTCCTGGAGCTGGAACTCGCGCTTGCCTGGAGCATCCCACAAGGAGGGGCCCCCTAGTTATAAGTAGAGTGATAAGAGCCCTAAATTGGACTATAAGGATCCTAAATGAGGTTTAGAAGTCCCTTAACTACAGTTTAGTATAGTAAGGGGGCCCCTCCTGGCAGGGCCTAACACCCTAAACTCAAAATCCCAATCCCGCTCCTTAGTCTTCCTCCGGTTCTTGGTTGAGGGCTCTCAAGGCTTGAGGGGTCACTAAAGGAGCATCAGTACCAATTTTCGGAATGGTCTACCTAGGGCTTGGCTTTTTGGGCTTAGGGTTGATGAAGTTGGGTGTGTGGGGCGTGTAGTGGGTCATTGGCGCCATGCTCTTCTCTCGCCTGCTGCTCGAGCTTTAAGATAGTGTACATCAAGCCGCGAGGAGATGAGCAACCGCCTCCCTAAATCCCTAAACCCTGAACCCTACGTGTTCTTTGCAGTTTCATCGCAATGTGTCGGGAAACAACATTGTTCCCCATGGTCTGAGAGTCTGTTGCTTCGAGTTTGATCCCTCCTGCATTTCTTTGACCATGACGCTTCTCCAGTTTCGAGCTGCCGTTTTGCAAGTTTTTGGTGCGGGCTGTCCCAACCCCTGAGTCTTACACCCTACGCTCCTAAACCCTACACCCTAGACCCAAAGCCCCTATTGAACCCCTAAACCCCACACCCTAAGCCCCACCACCCCCCCCCCCCCCCCCCCCCCCCCCCAATAGCCCCAAGACCTCCCAGCCCAGAAATTGTAAAGTAGCTTAACACTCGAGAAGTAACATTGAGCCGAGAAAAGCATGACGTCGGAGTGATCTGCACAGTAGTAGACGGCATATTGAGTTTGGAAACCTTCGTGAGATTTGCAAGCGGAATCTCCTGGTCATTATGATTGTTCCCAGAGAGCCCAATACTCCTTAATTAAGGAATATACCCTAAATGATAAAGGGATCCTGATTATGATTTAAGGACTATTCCTTAATTAAGGAATATACCTTAAATGATAAAGGGATCCTGATTATGATTTAAGGACTCTTCCTTAATTAAGGGGTATTGGGCTCTTTGGGTTATTGTTTGCCAGGATCGATTCGGGTACCAAGCCAAAGTTGTCGAACGATTCAGGATTTCGGGTTTAGGGTTTAGGGTTTAGGGGGAACTTTTGAAGCCCTGCCGCCCACCCCATGACAAAGCTGGCACCGCAGAGTAGAGAATCTTGTGAAGTGCATGTCTACTTGGAGGTTCACGGTACTTATTAACCAATTATGCCTGTACTTATGACTGTACTTATAACCATATTGGGGCACTTAAGGGGCTTGCAAGTGGGTCTAAGTACAGTTGTAATTGGTTAATAAGTACCATGAACCTCCAAGTACTGAGTCTACTGTAAGTTTGTACTGAAAGGGCTACGGTAGACAGTGCTGGGCACCCGGCCACACTCCTTCTGCAGCTTGCTCATTCGAAGTTCCATTTCGTTTCTGAACTGCTCTCGCATTTCCTGCGACAGCCGGATGACTCATCGGGAAGCAGCCCTTCTACTTGGAGGTTCATGGTACCCTAAGAGCCCAATACCCCTTAATTAAGGAATATAGCTTAAATCATACTAAGGATCCCTTTATAATTTAAGGTATATTCCTTAATTAAGTGGTATTGGGCTCTCTGGGTACTTATTAACCCAACAATAAATGCACTTATAACCCAGCTATGACCATGCTAGGGCACTTAAGGGGCCTATGAGTGGGTTATGAGTACAGATATAGCTGGGTTAGAAGTACCATGAGCCTCCAAGTACTCCGTGCTGCTGCCGACTCACGCTCTCCCTTCTAGCAGGACCATGCCCGCGACACGTGCATGCTGCGGAAGTTTTCCATGGGGAACTTTTGAGTTGAGAGCTTGTCGGAAAACCCGCAAAACCCCAGGTGAACCCTCAAGGTGGAACAAACCCTATAATTACAGCCCATAAACTCTAATGGCGCACCCTATAGCAACCCTCTACTAGGATCTCCAGTAACTCCTTAAGAGTAAGGGTACTCTTCCTCTTGCAAGTCAGTTTTAATAAGGCACCCCCGAAACAAAAAGGGAATCAGGGTAGTACTGGGGGACCTGGAAAAAAACTTATAAGCCCTACAACGCCTAAACAACCCAAAGGAGCCCACCGCGACCCGCATGTAGGGGGCGTGTGTGGGTAGTTCTCCATATTAGGGCCCCTTGTTGGGGTCCTATATAGAGCAAGGCGCCTAAAACAACGACCCCCCCCCCCCCCCCCCCCCCCCCCCCCCCCCCCCAAAAAAAAAAAAAAAAACAAAAAAAAGGGACCCTAATTCACACATAGTTTAGAGTGCGCATTGTGGGGTTTGGGGCTTAGGGTTTAGGGTATGTAGGGTGGGAATGGGTATTGTGGGGAGGGGACGGAAGTCGAGTTTACGGATGGGAGGTTTCTGTTGAGTTAGAACAGGTTTTGTGGGGCTTAGTTTACAGTTAGTATAGCATTAGAAAGGGTGTGTTGGTCACAAAGATCTGTCACAATCATTATGTCACACGGGAAGGGAATCCTTTTCATACTTTCTTTGGTAGCCCAGCAACCACATCATAAGAAGGGTACCGTTTTGGTATCGGTCACTTTTCCAAGGGATCGCAGACCCAGCCCACAAAAACCAAGAGCAAAAGCGTCTCACTCAGCTGCCCAGTCTCTTTCGTTCGGCAGGAGAACGCCAATACCCCTTAATTAAGGAATGTACCGAAACTTTTAGTAAGGATCCTGATTGGGATTAAAGGTATGCTCCTTAATTGAGGGGGTATAAAGGACTCTTTGAGTTCGTTAGAGAGGAGAAGGCCAACACCCTTCATAAGGAATATACCGAAAAATAATGATTAGAGGTCTATTCCTTACTTAAGGGTGTATGAAAGGCTCTTTCGGTTCGTTAGAGAGGAGAAGGCCAACACCCTTAGTATAGTCATTAGATGTATATTCCTTAATTAAGGGTGTATGAAAGGGCTCTTTGGGTTCGTTAGAGAGGAGAAGGCCGGGGAAGTCCTGAATTCTCTGCTCGTACTGGTCCGAAACGCCTTCGGATCTCTGTGCCTGAGCTCACCCAGTCGCCAAACTGGACCCTAAGCCCTAAACCCTAAACCCTAAACCCATAAACCCTAAACCCTAAACCCTAAACCCTAAACCCTAAACCCTAAACCCTAAACTCTAAACCCTAAACCCTAAACCCTAAACCCTAAACCCTAAACCCTAAACCCTAAACCCTAAACCCTAAACCCTAAACCCTAAACCCTAAACCCTAAACCCTAAACCCTAAACCCTAAACCCTAAACCCTAACCCTAACCCTAAACCCTAAACCCAGTTGCAACAACAAAAATCGACTCAGGCTTCCTAACCCCTAATCTTGAGCCGTAGATCATCGACCCTTCTGAAACTCTACGCCGCTACGCCTTACGCCCCCCCAAAAGCCTCCCCGAAAACCCCTAAAACCCCCCTAAGCCTCCAAATCCCAATCGCCCCTAACCCATAAACGGCTTAACTTAAACCCCTAAAGCCAGCCCCCAAAGGCCCCCAAAAGCCCCCAAAAGACCCCCAAAACCCCTAAAACCCCTAGACCATAGACGGTTTAACTTAAACCCCTCAAGCCCGCTCCCAGTGGCTCGCAGCTTCTGCCGTTCATGATTTGCCTCTGCCGGGGTGCTTTGAAGCAACCCCAAACCCCCAAAACCCTAAACCCTAAACCCTAAACCCTAAACCCTAAACCCTAAACGATGTGTTCAGGAGGCTGCTTTGCGGTTAAGGGCTTGCAGGGTTGATGACTTACGGCATGCGAGGGTTGCTTTGGGGTTTTTTGGGCTTCAGGGCTGCTGGGGGTTTATTTCTCATGGTTCAGGCTTGCCGATCTATAGCTTACGGCAAAGCCTAAACCCTAAACCCTAAACCCCAAACCCTAAACCCTAAACCCGAAGCTGTAGAGGTTGTTTCGCCCTCAGCCCGAAACCATCAGAAACCAAACCGAAATCACCGGGGCATGCACTCCAAACCTGTAGTCTTAGGGTTGTATTCCTAGGTTACTCCTGGGTCACCCTAAACCCTAAACCCTAAACCCCAAACCCTAAACTCTAAACTCTAAACTTTCAGGGCAAAAGGGGAGGTAGTAACATGGTCCCTTAGTATGGTCCCTTAGTATGGGCCCTTAAATTGGGCAACCCTCATATAGCGCCTATCTACCCGCCCAAGGGCCCATACTTCAGAACCCTCTTAAGGAGGTAAGGGACCATATCAAGGGACCATGTAGCTTTCCTTAGGTATGTGGTGGTGGGGGGGGATTCTCTGAATTGTGGTCCCTTTCTAGGTGCCCTACAATGACTCCGTATGATAATGACTCTCCCCCCCCCCCCCCCCCCCTCCCCAACAAAACAAAAGACTCATTTCGGGAATCCCAGCCCCCCCCCCCCTCCCTCCCTCCCCCCATGCAAGGGTTTAGGGTTGAGAGTTTGGAGTTGAGGTTTCGGGGCGCAAAGCTTGCAGACAGCTTCTCAAGTCCAGACAAGCCTTCCCCGAGGCCTTAAACTCTCCAAGCCATGCCCAACTCAAACTCAAACCCTCGACCCTCTAGACCTAATCTCAGTTTAAGCATACTCCGCCGTCCCCATGACTGCGCCCGCAAGTGAAGATGCACCGGCAAGTGAAGAAGAAGGACCCTAAACCCTAAACCCTAAACCCTAAACCCTAAACCCTAAACCCTAAACCCTAAACCCTAAACCCTAAACCCTAAACCCTAACAGCACTGGCCTCTGAGAGGTCGTTGAGGCAACTCCTTAAACCTTGCAAGGCAAGTGGGAGTTTCCGAGAAGACGGTTTCCCTCTACCAAGTGTCATGCGTTTGCCCGGGTTAAGCATTCATGGAAGGGTTTAGGTTTACGTTTAAGGGATTAGGGGTTGCGTTGTTTAGGGTTTTTGGGCTAGGGCTTCGGGTTTTAGGGCTTCGGATGTGGGGTTCATGTGCGGGAGGAGGGAGCTGCCAGTTATGGGGCCTTTTTCTGTCACAGGCGTGGCAACTGGGGTACGTACGATGTAGCCCTAAAACCTCAATCCCAAACGATGAGCCCTAAGCCCCAACCTTGAACCCTGAACCCTGAAACCCTAAACCTTAAACCCTACACCCTAAACCCTGCAAGGAACAGCCTCACCCCTCGAGTTATGGGTTCGGTCCTTGCGGCATGGGCACAAACAGCACTGGGATGGCCCTTAAAAGAACAAAATATTCCCCAAAAGTGGGAGATGTACTAGACCCAGGAGTAACCTGGCAATAACAAGGGTGCCCTTTTTGGTGTAAAAGGGGCTTATGAGGGAACCTAAACCCTAAAAAAGATAATAAGGGCCCTTCTCGGGTGGGTTGGCTACGTCAGAAGGGAACCTAGACCCTAAAAAAAAATTGAATAAGGGCCTACTCTGGGTCCTACTATAAAATGTCCCACGGGCCTGCCTAGAGCAAGCACCCCATTTCACATCACCAGCTTAGGGTTCAGGGTTCAGGGTTTTGAGGGGGGGTGAAGCCTCATATCCCTTAAGCCCCAGGCCTAAACCCATAAACCCAAACAGCAAGCCCCCCCCCCCCCCATTTCACATCACCAGTTTCGGGTTCAGGGTTTAGGGTTTAGGGTTTTGAGGGTTTAGGGTGAAGGCTTCAATCCCTTAAGCCCTAAGACCCTAAGACCTCAATCCTGAATTAGGGTAGTTCTGCCAGTGGCCGTTTGAGGGTCTCAGGAATTGGCAATCATGCTTTGACCCCCAAACGCAAACCCACGCATCAGGGCGCACCCTGTTGTCGCGGACTCGAATACTTCGGGGAAGATGTGCTTAAAGGGTCGAGGGCCCCCGCAACTCAAAACTCCAAACCCTAAACCATGCCGTTTCTAGGATGGCCCTTAAGACCATCTGAAAGCATACTCCTACACATTCTCCTCGTAAACTCAAAAAGAGAGAAGACACAAATCTCCCAAAGGCCTACCCAGGTTTATGGTTTGGAAGTGGATCGGAGGAGTTGTGCTTAAAGGGTTGAGGGGTTCAGGGCCCATTGAACTCTAGACCGTCGACAATGCGTTCCGGTTTCACGGCTCTAGGGTTTAGGGTTTGAAAAACCCGAAACCCTAAACCCTAAACCCTAAAACCCTAAAACCCTAAAACCCTAAAACCCTAAAACCCTAAAACCCTAGAACCCTAAAACCCTAAAACCCCCAACGCTCTGGCGGCCGAGGAGCGTTCCTCAGACACCTGGGACCTGCCTCAGCAAGGTATCGGGGTTCAGGGGTTTAGGTTTAAGGTTTTGGCGGTTAAGGGTTTAAGGGTCTTATGGTTTAAGGGGTTCAGGTTTCAGGATTTAAGGCAGAGGGCGTGAGGGCTTACGGCCTTATGGGCTTATAGGGTTCACCCGGCCTCTCCTCTAATTGTGGTTCCGTTGTGATGTTTTTCGTTGTTTGTTTGTGTGTGTGTGTGGGGGGGGAGCTACCTGCCTTTCCTACCAATTCTACTAGCCACAAGGTTCCCCAAAAGAAGGAACTGCAGTTAACAGTCAAGGTAGGCAAGGTAGGGTTGGAATTCAGTGTGAGGCCCTCACATAAATTGTATAGCATTCTTGGAGCATTCAGTCCGGCAATGGCATGGGGCGTTTTGAGGCCTCCGGGTCCAGAAATCAAAGCCAGGATCCCTTGAGACATATTCCTTAGCTAAGGGCTACAGAGAGCTAGCTCTCTGGGATGGTAGCCCAAACCCTTTGAGACATCGTCCTAGAGCCGCAAAGCCCTACACAGAGTAGGAAGCCCCTGGAGCTGCAAACTCTAAAGCCTAAAGCCTAAAGCCTAAAGCCTAAAGCCTAAAGCCTAAAGCCTAAAGCCTAAAGCCTAAAGCCTAAAGCCTAAAGCCTAAAGCCTAAAGCCTAAACCCTAAACCCTAAACCCTAAACCCTAAACCCAAACCCAAAACCCTACACAGAGTAGGAAGCCCCTGGAGCTGCAAACTCTAAAGCCTAAACCCTAAACCCTAAACCCTAAACCTAAACCCTAAACCCTAAACTCTAAACCCTATTAGGAAGCCTGGGCCCTTACGAACCATAAGGCCATCAAGGCCCGAAACCCTGAAACCCTAAGAACCCTGACACGCCAAGAGCCTGCAGTCCTCGCCTGAAACCCTCAACTTTCTAAACCCTATAACCTACAAACCCTGACAACCCCAAAACCCTAAACGCTAAACCCCTAACCCTAACACCCTAAAAGCAGCAAGACCCAAAAGCACTGCAACCCTAAAACCGCCCGGGGGCCCCGTTTCCTTACTAGACCTCGGGAAACTTACAGCCAACACCGATCTGATGAGCTCGTCTCTGCCACCGCAGGAGGAGGTTCCTGCCCAATTCGGTGCCGGCTTCGTATGTTCGGTCAGCTGGATTGCCAACCTCCCCAAAGGATCCATGTACCTGTATAGTATATACTTGGGCCGTAAAGCTACTATATAGGAACCCCTTTAAGGCCCAAGTATATACTATACAGGTACATGGATCCTTTAGGACTGGTAATAAGCTTGCCGCGGAGTCCCTGGCGGTGGCGGAGGACAAAACGGCGGCTCGCTCTCTGTCAACGGCCACCACTGCGATGCTTCTACTTGAAGGTTCATGGTACTTACTAACCAATTATAACTGTACTTATAACCCTACTTATAATACCCCTAAAGGGCCTTATAGGGGTTATCCCCATGATAAGTAGGGTTATAAGCCCAGTTATAATTGGTTAGTAAGTACTGTACCATGAACCTTTAAGTATCGGAGCACGTATGGTGCCTTTACAAGGGGCGCCCAGGGTTTAGGGTTCAGGGTTTAGGGTTTGGGGTTTAGGGTTTGGGGTTTGGGGTTTCGGGTTTATAGGGGAATTTTAAAATCCTGAAAAAATTGAATTTCTATTGTTTTCGGGAAACGCTCACCTGTAGGGTACATGCCCCTCTGACATGAACGTCACCACGCCTTGCACCAAAAGTTTAGGGTTTAGGGTTTAGGCTTTAGGGTTTAGGGTCTAGGGCTTCGAACTTCGTGTTGCCTAAGCCCTATAAACACTAAACCCTCGACGGCTTAGGCCTTTTTGGGTTTCTGCGCTACCACGGCAAATCCAAAACCAGACTGGGCCCGAAACTCTCGAAACCTCGGAATGGGGATGAGGTGATGCGTGGCTGCGGGTTAGGGTTTAGGGTTTAGGGTTTAGGGTTTAAGGTTTAAGGTTTAGGGTTTAGGGTTTTAAGGTTTGGGGTTTAGGGTTTAGGGTTTAGGGTTTAAGGTTTAGGGTTTAGGGTTTAGGGATCGCTGGATCTAGAGCTGAAGCGCTTTGGGGGGTTGAAGGGTTGGAGACTGCAGGGTTTGCGAGAAGATCTAGACCCGGGAGTAACCTAGGAAAAAACGGGTGCCCTTTTTGGATTTAAGGGGTTAGAAGGGAACCCCAACCCCAAAAAAAGGGGAGTAACCTAGGAAAAAAAGGGTACCCTTTTTGGATTTAAGGGGATGAGAAGGGAACCCCCAACCCCAAAAAAAGGAAAAAAGGGCCTACTCCCGGTCCGAGAGATTCCTAGACCGCAAACACAACCCTATAGCTAAGGGTTTGGGGTTGGGGTGCAGTGTTTAGGGTTTAGGGTTTAGGGTTTAGGGTTTACGGCTTAGGGTTTTGGGCTTGGGGCTGAGGATTTGGAGCCCAGTGGCTGTTGGCCGCCTCGGCCCGCTCCCAAAGGTGTTGCTCACCTCTTCTGCGCGGGCAGTTCGGGACCACCCTAAACCCTAAACCCTGATTAAACACCAAACCCGAAGCCTATCCTAAACCCTAAACCCTTATTTTTTAACCCTAAACCCCAAACCCTTAAGGAAAGCATTTTGGGGTGCTTATTGCGGTGACTTTGAGCTTTGAGATGCCGCCAGGTATGACGATCCTCCCTTGCCTACCCCTTCGGTTTAGGGTTTAGGGTTTACGGTTTAGGGTTTAGGAATTCCCCCCCCCCCCCCAATATTAAACCCCCTCCCCTCTCCCGACCCTAAAGCGCCATTTCAGAGTCAGGCTCTCAGCGGAATGCCCTCAATCGCCCGAAACCCGTACCTCCCACCTCTACCACAAGGGGCGCAAGGCCTCAGAAACCAAACATCGAACCCTGCGTCGTAAACCCACAATTCCTGACTCTCTTATTGCAGTTGCATGGTCCCTTAATGTGGGACCTTCAAAGGGGACCCCTTATGTACCCCCTACAAATTAAGGGCCCATACATCAGTACCCATTAAAGGAGCTAAGAGACCATATTACGGGCCCATGAAACTACCCTTAGAACTCTAAACCCTAAACCCTAAACCCTAAACCCTAAACCCTAAACCCTAGACTCACACTCTTAACCCCGAGCAATCCTCAGCAAGTCAACTTCTTTGAGCTGCAGACGGGCTGTCGCGTCATCGAGCTGACGCGCGATGTCAAACTTCTCGCCTTGCTTCGGATACAGAGTTTGGGGTCTTTGCTGGGGATTCAGGATTTTGTTCTTACTATTTTAGTATTTTTGCTTGTTTTTTTAAGGGTAGGGTGTTAGAGTGACCGCAAACCCGAAACCCGAATGGGGATTGAGCCCTATTAAACCTTACACACCCGCCACCCTACACCCGAGAATTTGCGGAGCTTCTCCCTAGCCCGGCATCCCACCCCGAAACGTCGCGTCTTGCAAGCTGTTTTCGGCTGCCCATGGTAGGAAAGGCGCTGCTCAAGTGTAGCCAAGGCACGCATGCACGCCAGGGTGTCCTGAGGATTTGGGGTTTAGGGTTTAGGGATTATAGGGCTTAGGGCTTAGGGTGTAGGGTTTAGGGTTTAGGGGTTAGGGTTTAGGGCATCGTTCTTGCCACCCTGCGCACAAGGACATCTTGAACTGCATCTTCAGTTTTTCTATCATTCTTGTTGCTGTTGCAATTCAGCAGAAGCAAGTGTTCAAGAGTTTGGGGACGGGGCAGCGCAGCCCAAAAGTCTGAAGAGCCAGAGACGGCAAAAGAGCTTAAGGAACCTTATCGGCAATTATAGTATCCCAAAAAGTGCAAAGCTTGCTCACTCAGCTACTAAGACACTGCGCTTTGCTTAAGAACCCCCACCCCCCCCCCCCCCCCCACAAAAAAAAAAAAAAAACAAACAATAAAAGACAAGTCTCCCTACATGACCCTTGCAAGGAGGAATGTTTGAGATTTTTTTGGGGGGAAAGTCCTAAGCAATTCGTAGTAGCCCTAAACCCTAAACCCGAAGCCCCTGAAGCCTGCAGACCCTCATTCCTAAGCCCATTGAAGTTGGTTTAGGGTTTAGGGTTCAGGATTCAGGGCCCTAAACCGGAGATTTGGGGCCCTAAAAAAACCCTAACCCTAAACCCTAAACCCCAAACCCTGAAACCCTCAATGGCCCTCTCCAGTCCGGATCATCTGAGGGCGTCCGGAGGCGCAGACGTTTGCCACGGCTTCACCCTGGGGGACTCTTTTAGGTTTAGGGTTTAGGGTTTAGGGTTCAGGTTTCGGCAGTTTAAGGGGTTTAGGGTTGAGGGTTTAGGCCTGAGGATTTAAGGGGTAGGGTCTGGCGTTTCGATTGAGGCCTCTAAGGGCTTGAGGATTTCAGTTCGAGACTGTGGGTTGAGGCATTTCTGTTTTTGGGGGGGAGGGGTTGGGTAAGCTTTGGGATTCCCGTTATCCCCGAAAGTCACGAAAGGTCTATTGGCTTCGTGGTTTTTGGGGTTCGCGGCTGGAAAGTGTCCCTACGGCGGGAAGGGGCTCTGGAGGTCAAAGGGATAGACCATAGGACCGGGGTTTTCTACGATTCGCTTAAAAACCCCCCCCCCCAAAAAAAAAAAGAAAAAAAAACTTCCTTAGAAGGGCAATGTAGGGAATACTATCTCCCATGTTTTTTTTTTGGGGGGGGTTCTTAAGCAAATCGCATGGGGGCTTAGGGGTTAGGGTTCTGTGTTCGTGTTCAGGTTGGCCCTCTCAAACCTCCAATCCTCCTGAATGAGATCATCTTAAAACGAAAAATGCCAAGGATACCTGATTGGGGTCCCTATTTTAAGGGGATCCTACTATTTGGGGGTCTATATTCGGGGTCCCTTATTTTCGTACACCCCCAAATCTCCAAGAGTCCTAGCTAGATCTAGGATTCAGGATTTAGGATTTAGGGTTTAGGGTTTAGGCTTGCGGGTTAAGGGTTTCTTAGGCCTATCTAGGACATAAACCCTAAACCCTAAACCCAAAATCCCCGACTGCACGCATGATCTGAGACTCCCGCGTGTTGTCCGCTTCTTTGAGCGGCGCTTGCTCAGCATCCCTTGGCCGCAGGGTTTAGGGTTTAGGGTTTAGGGTTTAGGGTTTAGGGTTTAGGGTTTAGGGTTTAGGGTTTAGGGTTTAGGGTTTAGGGTTTAGGGTTTAGGGTTTAGGGTTTAGGGTTTAGGGTTTAGGGTTTAGCCTAATAAACCCAAATAAATCCTTAACCCTGAGCCCCAAACCCTTCGGGGTTTAAAGCTTCGCAGTTCTGGGGTCAGAAGTTTAGAGGCTTGAGGTTTATTGAGGGCTTCGGCATTGAGGGGTTCTCAGGTCTAGGGCTTTGGGGTTTAGGCAGCGGTTTAGGGTTGGAGGGCTGTTGAGGGTCTAGGGTTCAGGGTTTAGGCTCGGAGCTTTGGGGTATTGAAGGTGTGAATTTCTCTACACATGTATCTTTATACAGTAAAGCTTCTACATTTTGGCCTCAATGCTGCATCCTAGTCCTAATTCTAAACCCAAAGCCCGCACAAAACGAATAATTGCAAGCACATGGCCAGGGACCCTCCCCCCCTCCCAGGCTTTGGGGGTTGGGGGTTCATGGACCCCCACAATCTACTTGTTTGCTAAAGAACCCCCCCCCAAAAAAAAACAAAAAAAAACAACAACAACAAAATAAATAAATAAGTGTATATATATATATATATATACAAATACACATGTTTTCTTCCTTATAAGGGCAATACAGGGATTATTATCATTAATCTTTTCTCGTTTTTTGAGGGGGGTGGGGGTTCTGAGCAAATAGTAGCCCTAAACCCTAAACCCTAAACCCAAAACTCTAAACCCTAAACCCTAAACCATGCTAAACCCTAAACCCTAAACCCAAAACCCGGGGGGGGGTTCTTAGTAGGAAAAGGGTACCCCCCCCCCCCCCCCACCAAAACCCAAAACCCTAAACCCTAAACCCTAAACCCTAAACCCTAAAACCTAAACCCTAAACCCTAAACCCTAAACTCTAAACCCTGAACCCTAAACCCTAAACCCTAAACCCAATTCTGGGAAACAGCACGCAGGAGGCAGCCGAAGGACCCCGATGCCGTGGCCGCTGGCTCCTCCTGAAGTGTTTGGGGTTTGGGGGTTGGGGTTTGGGGTTTGGGGTTTAGGGTTTAGGGTTTAGGGCTTAGGGTTTAGGGTTTAGGGTTTAGGGTTAGGACTATGAAGTGTTTGGGGTTTGGGGCTTGGGGCTTGGGGTTTGGGGTTAGGATTTAGGGTTTAGGGTTTTTTACGGGTTTGTGGTTTGGAGCTTAGGACTTTCTGTGGGCTGGGGACTTGGGGGGGGGGGCTTTGGCAACTGCAAGTGGACAGCTGCTTCGCCACATATATAATTACCCCTTAAAGAGTTCTTTACTTATGAACAGTTTGGGGTTTGGGGTTTAGGATAGGGGCTTGGGGATTTAGGGGTTGAGGGCATGTAGCAGAGTCTGTGAATCTAAGGCGCCGAAGACACCCCACAATCAGCTCAGGTAGGTCCTGCCCCGCCGGCGGTGGTGGCGGCTTTTGCTGCTCTTTCTCTCGCTTCCTTCCACTTGGGTCTAGGGTCTGGGCACCAAACCCCCAAACAACATGAGGCTACAAAACCACACGCAAGCGAGCAGCCGCTGCTGCTTCAGAAGCTCGGCTTTTCGCTGGATTTCTTGCCTGGTTGGGTTGAGGGTTTCGGGTTTAGGGTTTAGGGTTTGGCGTTTGGGGTTTAGGGCTTAGGGTTCCTGGGAGGGGACACAGCATACTTCCCTTCGACTTCTACTTCGTTCTAGAGGGGTTATATAAGGTTTAGGGTTAGGACTATGCTGGCCGCCCGTTCCCCCCCCACCCCCGCTACTGTAAAGGTTACTTTCTCGATTGCTAAGCAAAAGCTCCATCCACAGAAGCAGAAGATGTCAACCCTGGAAAAAGACGCGGAGCCTCTTGTCAAAACCCCGAACATAGTTGAAGTTCTAAAGCCTGACACACCCAATAAGCCCATCAAGCGCCTGACATACCCAAAGAGAAATTTCCACAAAACCCTGAACCTCAAACCCTAAACCCTAAACCCTACACCCTAAACCCTAAACCTTGTGCTTTGTGTTTTGTTCCGGCCATACGCGAGCCTAGGTTGGGTGGCTTCATAGATAGCTTCTGCAAACCCGTCATATCCCTACCAACACCTAAGCCCTAAACGCGAAACACAATACTGGGAAATGCCGCAAAAAAACCCAAACCCTACCCCCCAAAATCCCTGCACCCTAAACCCGAAAACCCGGAACCCTACAACCCCTAAACCCTCAACCCCCAACCCTAAACCCTAAACCCACCGTTGCAGCACGAGCCACAGCTGGCGCTGCTGCTCCTCGCGCACACTGCGGCGGCCGGGAGCCGTTTTCAGCGCTCCTGTCTCCTCGCGGTTTAGGGTCTAGGGTTGAGGGTTTAGGGTTTAGCGTTTAGGGTCAAAGTTTGGGGCTACAGGGCTTTCTGAGTGTAAGGGTTTTAAGGATTTAGGGCTTTCGGCTTTGAGGGTTTTAGGGATACAGGGCTTGAGGGCTTGGGGTGAAAGGGTTGAAGGTCTGCATGGGAACCCGCAACGTACTATGCATTTGCTTCTATTTTGTTCTTCCGTACTCGTTTTTTTTTGTTTTTTTCCGTACTCGTTCTTTTTTTGTTTGGGGGGGGGGGGGGGGTGGGGCTGCCCTTTTACATAAATCAAACTTAAATCAAACTGTACACATAAATCCTAACCCTACAACCCTAAATTCGGGATCACAACCGCATTTGGGCCGTTACTTGGGATCTAGGGTTTAGGATTCCTGGAAACACCATCAAAGCTTAAAACAGCCACCTGTGCGTCACGATTCAAAAGTCCACAGTCCCACAATCTCAGCGCACAAATCGAAAATGATTCCGTTGAAGGTCCTGCAGTTGAAACACCCTGCAGAAGCCAGAAGCCCCAAGAGCCCTAGTTAGAGCAACGATGTTACAAACAAATCAAGAACAAACCATCTTCTGCCGTCTACAACCTGAAGAACCGTCCTGTTCGCCCCTCTCATCTCTAACTCCTAGATGTCCCTGAGCCCTAGACACCCTGTATACCCTTAAAACCCTATAAACCCCAACAAAAGCCCTGTCAACCACCCTAAACCCTAAACCCTAAACCCTAAACCCTAAACCCTGTAAAGCCTGTCAGCCCTAGAAGCACCCATCCTGCACGGGTGCGTGCAGCGGAGCCTTCTCGGCTTTGGCCACAGGGCCTGGAGGGAAGGAGCGGCTTAGGGTCTAGGGTTTTAGTGTTTAGGGTTTAGGGTTTAGGGTTTGGGTTTTTAGGGTTTAGGGTCTAGGGTCTAGGGTTTAGGGTTTAGGGTTTATAGGGTTTAGGGGGCGAGATTCTCTTTAGCCCAGTAACCACCGTCTAAGACACTGTTTCGGCTTGGTTACTTTATCAGGGAACCTTGAATTGAGCCACAAGAGGGGACC